CTCCTGACAATGTGCAGAAAATTTCAGGACAGGCTGCCCCTACAGTCTTCCGGACTTGCCTGTTCACATATGCACCTCAAAGTGGGATATTTGTTCCAGATGGACATGAGGGGGAACCTCAGCAGCCTGGACCCGACATATAAAGGATGAGGTAAAAATGGCGGACGGAGCAACAGCGCCCAATGCTTTGAAGCCTTTCATATCAATGCTAGGTGTGTGAAGATGGCACCAGCCGCTCAGCAGTCATGTGATGAACATGTTATCCCACCTTACCCCTTTGGGGGTTGTTTATTCAGCTATGAAACTATAACAAAAAAAAATGTGCTTCTCTGTTTAAAATGTATCTACCAAAACACACTTTTTTTTTACATTGGAAATGGCCTTTGTAAATGTCTTAATGTAAGCATTTGTGTTAGATTTTTTGCCTATTTAACCTTCATGTTCTTAAAGTGTATTTTCTTTGTTTTTGTCACAGTTTCAGTAAAGTGGTTTGAGAAGACACTTTGAAGTTTTATTATTTGTCTTAACATTTAAGTTGCAATTTTAAAGGTAATGTTTATTTATTATTTTAAAACATAACCTGACATGCAAGGAATCATTTATCAAATCACTAGGTTTAGAAAATAAATATATTGTGTCCATTTTGGTAGAAGGAAATTAATCTATAGCTAGGTGTAGTATTTACAATTCACAGTAAAAATCTGCAAATATACCTCTTGTGAAGAATTGTAAATAAACAATATTAAACAGTTAATCCTTTCAACAGTATTTTCCTGTTAAGGTTTAAAATCACAGCTTTTTACTGTATTGACAAAACGGTAGAAAACGGTAGAAAACTGTAAATTTCAGCAACAGCAATATACCGTTAATTTTATAGTAACTTCCTGGCAACCCTACTGCCAGTTGTTTACCGTTTTTTAACAGGGGAAGCGTGTACCCAACAGGTATCATTGCAGATGCAGTCACAATGGTTTAACAAATATTTGCTGTTCTTTATTTTATGATTTACTCCATAAGTACAACAATGACCTGTCAAACTGCCATACTGTGAACTGGAAGTGGATGCATGAATGAACACTTCCCTTTTTAGCCACTTGAATGCACATCTTCAGTTGTATTTAGTCACTGTGTCGATTCTGCAATGGCCTTCCTCTTTTTGTTATGCCATTATTATTATACACACATCAACAAGTGCAAGTCAGGCAGAAAGTCCAGTAAGTAAGCTTCCAGCTTTGCTTAGAGACAGTGCTCATAAAATGACTGAAACATCGTGAAATGATCATGTGGATTCTCAGAATTTGAGAATCCTGTCGAAGGGGGGAAATGTGAACAACAAAAAGTAAACTAGTCCCTTGTTAAGCTGCCAATGTTACAGAAAAAAAATCAAATACTCAACAGTATCAAAATACTTAAAAACACCCTGCTTTAAACAATATCTGCTTGAGGTTTTTCTGCCTGTTAAAAAAGGAAGTTTGTCCTCGTCACTGCTGCCAAATGCTTGCTGATATTGGATTGGTGTTGAACCTTTGTGTAAAGCACATTCAGTTTATGTTCGTATTAAATGTGCTACATGAACAACTTCAATCCAAACCTCCAATTTTACATTTCAGAGCAGAAAAACTCTTTAAAAAGTTCAATCCCTCAACATGTGGTCTCAACAAACACGGATTCAGTGACTGGCAAAACGAGTAATTTTATGGACACTTTCAACAAAACATGCCTTACAGTAACAATACATCCTGACTTCAGTTTTGCTCCAATAACTTCCCTTGGTGCGCCACAGAAAGCAGTAAAACACAATGAAAACGCACTGGCGCACAAACTGGGATCAATGCCAGAGTTTTAAGCATCATTGTGATTATAGGCTGTTAACAGCAGCAAATGAAAAGAGTTAACGGGTCAGTCGGGGAAGAAGTGGATTCATTTTGGCTGAACGTTTTTCTTTCACACACACAAAAAAAAAACTAATTTTAATGCAGGCCACACTGTTTCAACTTTCTTTTAACACCTCCTGCCAGTGTATAACACATTCAAGGCGACCATGAGCACTTAAAAGGGAGACAAAACTCAATTTAGGAAACTATCAATCACCGTGCAGGGGGAGCAGTCAGGGGGGGGGTTAAAGAGAAATTTTGTCCTGGGCAAATGATGTAATTGCTCGGCTTCACCTCGTCTTCATTTGGCTGAGCTGTGGACTGTGTGTGTTCTGGGTGTTAGAGCACACGCTCTGACCTTTTCCTTATCATAAATCACATACTACTGTGCTGCTGCCAGGATTTTGTTTAACCCAATTTGTCAACGAGGACACCACTTCCACCCTCTAGTGCAGATCCACACAGTTGGGACTGGGAGCATTGGGATTAGTGGGCGGATCAAAGCATGCTATCCAGTGCTCTCGCTCTCTCTCTCTCTCCAGCCCTGTAATCATGAAAGTCAGCGGCTTCTGGAGCTGATAAGTCAGGGCTACTGGTGGTTACTAGGCAAAAAGAGAGCGAGAGAGAGAGAGAGAGAGAGAGAGAGAGACCAGAAGCCAGCGCAGAAACTGACATTTACTTGCAATCCTTAATCTGAGTCACTTTATTGTTTCTCCCTTTTTTTGTGTAAAATTTTGCAAGAAATAGAGACAAATGCAAAAGCTATCCAGTTAACCTGTCTTTTTACACGAATGAAAGTGGGAAATACTCACATTTCAGATCAAGAACCTAAGGATATTTCAACTTGTTTCTGGTTACCAGCTTTTACTCAATGCCTTTTTGTTCACAGGTCGAGAATGAGAGGCAAAAATAACTGTCTTCATATGCTGAAGTCTTTTAATTACACCTGTGATCCTGATCCTCTCATAAAGGTTAACACTTCCAAGCTTAACATCAGAAAGTCAGAAGTAGTCCAAATGATATTTATAGATGGGCCCAGCTTTACAGAAGCACAAATGTGGTGTACAGAGATGTCATTATGTGGCTTTGTGTTAGGGCTGGGGGATATGAACCAAAACTAATATCTTGATATTGATTAGCTGAATGGCGATACTCGATATATATTGATTTGTATTTTATAAACAGTGAAAACACATGGAAAATAAACTACCTGATTGTGAATTTAAAAAGTAATATTATAAAATAAAAATGTTCCTTAAATACAATAAAAGAGAGAGAGAGGAGGAGCAGGGTGAAGAGGGACAGACAGTCAGTCATCATCAGTGAGATGAGGAAAAAGGTGACCCGGCACCTCTATAACGTTATTTTAATGGAACATAAACTATATCAATATTAACAATATTGTCTTACCCTATATCTTGTTTGAAAATATATCAATATATCTTAAAAACTCAATATATTTCCCAGCCCTACTTTGTGCTTTCAAATAATCTCTGTATCATTTGTCAGGTTGGTCTAGATCTTTGCCTGGATGCCATTCAAAAAACGTAAACAAACACTGCTTTAAATCTGTATTCTGCAACTTGTTCAAGGTTCATACCATTAGAACAACCGGACTCAACCAGCATTTCCACATCATGGATCTATACAAAGTAGCGATCAACGAGCATACAGCAATGAAGGCTCAGTGGTGCTTAAGACTGGACTTCAATGTGAGCAAAAGTCAATAAAAAGCCAATGCCACAGTGCACTTTTACTCCGACACTGTGGTCATGTAAGTTTCCTGTGGTGCCCGACACTTCCTGATATTGGCTTAGGAAACTTGAACGAGCTGAAGTGGAGTGTGAGCTTTATATAATTTGAGTGCACAAACCTCTAATTGTACCACCATGAAGGCTTCTGTTTCGTCTGAGTGTAGCTACTTCCCACCACAGTTATTTCTCTCTGAGTTTAACCCAAAAAAAGGGAAGACAGGAAACTTCTGATTGTCTTTTTGCGCCTACTCTTCTGTCATATAATCCTAAAGAAGGAAATGGGCTCGAACTAGAGCTTGATGATACATCAGTTGGTTGATATTTTCAGATGATATTGGCCCAAGTTAAAACAACGTTTATGATCTTTCAAAATGTCATCTGTTCAAGATATAAGTCATGTGAGTTAATGTGCATAGTCATACCATTGCACGATCTGCAAATTGAGATTCAAAACGGCCTTTTTCATTATTTTTTTTTTCTAAGAACTGCAGCACATTGGTTGATGCTGGGGTTTCTGAAACCAACAAATATTCTGAATTTCAATGACTTTTGTATTTGTTGTCATATTGAACTGCCACACCCGCCTGCGACTCTGAAAAGGTCAACAAAAGAAAAAAAGGAAAACCGCTCCAAATGGCTCAACTTGGGATCTATTAGTGTTTTACTTTCCCTATTATTCCAAAGCACATGATTATCTTTGATCCCTTCCACTCAGAGCTTGACTGACTGAATAATACTCAATTAACACCCTTTAATCCAAAGCAAATGTGTTGACGCTGTAGCTGTCATGGCAGAGCAACTACATATTTATCCCACTGACACATTTCATATTGCTCCAACAAAGGCTACACTGCAAAAAGTGAAGTGTAAAAAGAATGTATATGTCCAACAGACATCAAACAACGAATAACTCCAGAGACGTGATTGGCTCAAGGCCTACAGCAGAGGAAACCCCTGACTTATTTGCAGGGGTTTCTTCACCAGTGCAAACTTCTTGACCCTGCACTCACCCACCCTCAGCACCATTAACATCTGTCCAGCTGCTGTATTATCACAGATATAGACATACAGGTTCTACACTGGACTGAGGCCAAGCAGTGGGCTTGTTGTGGCAGGAGGGTTTGTGTTTAGAATCTGCAGACCAACAGGGGAAAATCCAAGAATTAGATGCTGTGATATGCCATTCAGCTTCCCAAACAATCCAAGCATGGCATAAAATATGTGGGGCTGCCCTGACAGTTTCAAAAGTGTGATAAAAAAACAAAAACAAAGCGAGTCACACATGTAAACACCGTAACAAGACAAAGCCTGGAGGTGTGATTCAAACACACCATCATCTGATGGTTTGCAGTTTACACCTAAGCAGACTCACCTGTGACATCTGGGGTCTGAAGTTGATCTCCTTCAGGTCCACTGATCCTGGCGAGAGGTTGTGCAACATCTGGCACAGGAGCACACCGTCTCTGAGGGCCTGTGCCAAGTCGAAGACGGCCGCTGAGGGCCACACGACCCGGTGGTTCGGGGGCAAGACCTTACAGTCTATCAACCACCGCCCGCATTGTCTCCACTCCTCCATGTCTGCTCCGGAGACTGTCCTCACAAAGTAACACAGTCCTCGATGTGGATCACACCAGGTTTAGACCGGAGGTTGACGGCGCACACGCAGACAATACGCACGCTTCCCCACCTGATGGCTTAATCATTCACTATCAGCGCAATAATTAGTTAATTCCCCTTCTGTATTTTAGTGATAATAGGTCACCGTGCTATATCCCCATTCCGGGCGCATGTCAGCTCTGCTGTCTCCACAGCATGGAAATGATGAAAGCTTTGAAACAGACTAAAATAACAACACGGTTTCAATAAATCCAGCTCAGCAGACGGCGGCGATGTAACCAGAAAACAGAGACGTGCTACGGTAATTTTCTCCTCTTCATTCTCAAAAACTTTTCTTTGCATATCCAGAGCAAAGCGCGTAAATGAAAGATTCCAACACTAGCTCATGTAACGACTGTATACAGCGGTTTGTCATGTGTCGACTTCACTAGTGTCTCACATTTCAGGCTACTACACAATGTGGAAAAAACAGCGTTTCAACTCAGTTTAGTTGATGAACCACTGCCCAGAAACCCCTTCCACATTTGCATTTAACGTTTCTTCAGAAGTTAAACGTCCAAAACAAGAACTTTCCGTATTTTCCAGGGCAAAAAAATAAAATGAGAAAAGAGATACAACACAGAGCAGTCTTTTCCCAAACGCACAGGATCACCCTCGTTTCACAATAACACAGTCCAAACAACGCGCTCCGGCAGCGGAAACATGTCCAAGGAAAAAAGATAAACAGTGTTTACAGTTATCCGGTTAACGTTACTTTGTTTGGCGCCTTTACGCACGCCCAAAATATCCTTACGCGTGTACACAGCTCTGCTTTTCAGTGATTTCTGCCTCCCTTCCGCTCGTGTCCTCTCTCTCTCTCTCTCTCTCTCCGCGTCTCCCTCTCCTCGTTTCCCGTTCGGAATGAGATGTTTAGCGGTCCTAACTCCCGACCCCGAGTCTCACAAGCCTCGAGAGAAAGCGTCCAGGCTTCTCGTTTGGTGTTCACCCAGTACGTGCTGATTATCTCGTGCAAAGGTGAGAGTAAAACAGCGTGTCCTCACTTTGTTCAAGTAGATCCATACTCCAAGAATGTGAGTTTCAGGGAATATATTTTTGAAGTGGGAGCTGTGGATGCGCCCTCTGACGGATGAAGCGCACACTGCACAAGGAAATAAAACAAGGGGATTAAAGGGGCAATTCATATTAAATAAAAACAAACACACACACACTAACTTATGGCCTGCCTTCGCTGCAGTATGATCCGTGATGTGATGGGAATGTCCAATGTCTTATCTTTGAAGTGCCTTAAATATGAAATGTATAATAAACATACAGAGAGCATGCAGACACAGCTAACCTGTGCCTTCAATTTGGTTGACAATTATAAGAAGTTTCAAGACTAGCCAGCATGCACATATTTATTTAAATACTTGACTATACTCCTACATACATCATCAGTTTGATTTAAAAGAGTTTCCCCGCTCAGACAGGCAGCAGCACAGTTAACAAGATACAGACATAAAAACACCGAGCAATTACAAACACAGACCAACATATCCTGAGTCACAGAGCAGAAGTCATTAGTCAAAGCGTCTACAACCTGATGCATCGTCCTCCAATGCGATTTAATCTAGTTCTAAAAAGATTCAAAAGAGATCAGCTCCCCCAGACCCAAATCCTCCTGCAGCTGATTCCAGGCCACAGGAGCAGCGTACCTGAAACTCCTTTTTCATATTTCTAGGTGCACTTTGGGGACAGATAACAGAAAGCTGCGTCACTTGGTGACTGTATACTGTAGTTTCCAGGCCGTTCATGTACACTAATCGAGACCGAGTCAAGTCTAAGACATTTAGTGATTGAGACGAGTTAAGTCCAAGACCAAGTCGGGGCGATTCCGAGACAAGACCAAGACCAAGACCATAAATATCAAATTAAAAATCATCAACTTGTGGGTAGCGGGTGTCACTCACTTAGACTGTAACACAGGGAAGGTTGCGGCTGTAACCAGGGGATAAAAATCAAATTATGAATGAATTGAAGTGATTTGTTCTTTTAGAAAAAGTGTTTTTCCTTCTAATCATAGTAATGACAAAACAGCTGGTCAGCGGTGGTCTTGACCGGTCTTGATTTAAAATCTGTAGTCCGTCCAGTCTGAGACCGTGACAAGACCCAGTACAAATGCTTTTAGTTCTGAGACCAAGACTTTCTAAAAGTGACATCGGTTATGGTCTTGAGACCAATTATTTTATTTTCCTCTGCTTTCATTTGGACTTTTTTTTCCATTCCAAATCTCTCTCATCTAATATATTCCCTAATGTCGGTCCTTGTTAATAAATCAATCAAAATTGGCCAATGGATCGCAAATAGCAAAGGCTATTAATATCAATGTGCCACCTGTTTCTTGTTAAACATTCTTTGTCATGTCTAATTACATTCTTGCCTGGGTCATAATGTTCCCTTCCCACCTTCACATTACCTCAGGGATGTATCACATTTGGCTCATTTATCTCCAGGCATAAAATTGAGCAGCACGGCAAAGTCCTGATGTACTAGTCTTCTTTTTTTTTAAATCTGAAAAACGGACGTTTTAAGACTGAAATGCTGGATGTATACATGAGAACCATGTATTTGAGGCTGTACTGAAACTATCAATAATCGGGCAGAGGATTTAAGTAGCCACTTTTAGTTCTTTCCATTGCACATGGATCGTCTTCTTCAGCTTTCATTGCTGTTGTAATGGCCTTGTACCCAAATGTGTTACTCCACTGGATGTCAAGAAGACATATTGACACATTAAATGTGCTATAAAGTTTGATGAGACAGAACTACAACAGTGGAACTGCAGGAGTTTACCATCTTTTGTTCCTTCGGCCATACGACACTTTACAGGGAGGAGCTGTTGAAGGTGTTAACTTTAGTGTAAACCCCAAAAGAGGAAACATTCTGTAAAATTAGGAATACAAATTTAACTTCTCAGGTATCCCCATTGTTTGAGGAACCTGTTGCCTTCAAGAAACATCTCACTTCAGAGTATGGACTTTGTCTTTGAGCTACACCGTTCTTCCATTTGTTGCCAGCTTCACTTCACAAATACCACTTAGTGTGTTTCAGGCACAAGCAGACAAGCCTTTGGTTGTAGAGCTTGCAGGGAAATGGAAAGACCATCACCCTTATAGAGATCATGCAACACATTTCTAGTTGAATGTCTGTTAGAAGTGTTTAAAATGAACTAACTGTACATTGAATGATTTGTTTTGCACCAGTAGGAATCATTCCCATTGTCTAAGCTCTAGAGTTATCATGGAATCACCCAGAGATCAGTTTGAAAGGGTGCTGTGTCATGTCAGGATAAGGTCCACCACAACCTGAGAGACTTCAAAAACATATACAGTACACGAGTATATGTTGTTTCAATTGTCTGAAACTCTCTCCCTGGGAGTTTTCCTATACTTTCTTTGATCCAAACCTTCAAGCCAACTCATTTGAATGTATGGATTTGTCTGGCATTGTGACATACCTACCTGAACCCTATCAGCCCCATAGGTTGGTCTAAAGCCTTTATCAATCCGTTGAAAGAGTTGTCAAGCTATGTGCAACCGAGCAGAGCCAAAGAGCAGTCAGAACTATCAATATGAATACCACATGACAAGATGATCAGAGTGTAACAAACTGACAATTCAGTCTGATACAACACTTATTTAAGATTCCTGGTTTTGACTTGTAATGGTTAAGAAAATCCTTATCAGTGTGTGACAAAGCTCTGCAATGTTGGGCATATAAAAAGCAAGTCGCTGGGTTCATGGCTATTGATAGTCTTTTGCACAATGCATTCTGTGATGTTCAAATGGTCTTTGAGATTGACTCATGGCACCATGAGCTCACTTAACCTTTAAAGACCTTTTGAATCTCCCATCAGCCTAAAATATGGCTTATAAATCTTTGAGCAGGCCCTTTGAGGGGGGATTGAGCTGCAATGTCATGCCTTTCTTCATATCTTCAGGGACTGGATCTAAATCCTGGATAGTTTTTGAACAAGTTGCAGTGTTTAACTGCAAAAAATACGGCTTTACTGATTTGTCTTAAAAATATGTGATTATGTGTTCAATTGAACAACTGTTGTCAAACAAGACATAACTGATGGTCACATTTCAACTGAATTCTGCTGGAATGCTTATTCCTCTGCTTTGCCGAATGCACCAGATAGCAGTTCCCAAAAACAGACAGTACACTGGATGCATCTGTAACCTTAATGTCAGGGGAGTGTCCAGACTTTTTGGACTGGGGGGGGGCACTGACTTTTTGAGGGGTGGCCTGAAGTTTATGTTCACATATGAATGAAGAGCCTTAATTTACCCCTTCTGTCTGCACTAATCACATCAACTTTTAAGTAACACAAGATAATATACATCAAAACATAAACATCTTCTAAGCTTAATTCTTCAAGAACTCAAAATGATATGTATGTCTAAAGTCACAATTTAAAGTATGTTAAAAATGGCAAACGAACATCTGCATCACTGAAAATTATGAGCTGACTGTTGCAACACAACCTGAATAGTGGATATCAATATAAGTCCCAACTCTGGCAAGGTAAATAGCCAATAATATTCAAGGTTTTTTGGGGTGGCACCTGGTGTGGCCAATAAGACTTTAAGGGGGGCCCATGCCACCCCTCTTGATACGCCCCTGCGTAATGTGAAATAAAAGCATCAGTGATGACCTTAATGTTATAGAAACAGAGTTCTGATCTAACGTCACAGCTCTGTAGAAGCTAATGGTCCTGGACAGCCCAAAGAGGTGAGTATACTGTGTATGAATATTATGCAGTGCAGAGCTATAAGAACACACTCAGCAACTTCTCCTCTTGGATAAGTAATGGCTTTAAAATACATTAACAAGCATCATATATTTTGTAACAAATTGAGCCTATGAAAAGGAGGCTAACAGTATCAGCTAATTTGCAATTAAGATTCTTGGTACATGTCACATTAGCATTAATCGTTGACTGAACAGAAGTGCACACACGTGCAGTTCATTTTACATACCTTGATTCAAATTGACATTGTGAGGTCGCGTTCATTGAGTCTATATATTTTCTGGAATGTTCTTTTACTCTACACTGCGGCGCTAAGAAAATGAAAACCAGAGATCCATTAATCAAAGCAAACACAGTCTCTGTGTGGCGTGTCTGCAGAGTTGCACGAGTGTGGTCTTTTAAACACTGGATTCATATGCTGTGAGCGATGGCCAGAAGTGGCAGAAATGACTAGTTGTCATTGAAGTTGTGGCATTGATCAATCATGCCACAAGGTTGTTGGCGGGTGAGAAGTGACATGTTTCATGTTGCATGATGGGAATGCAGGTCACTAAGAGCGCCCGTCCCTGCAACATGTATACAGTGCATGGGCAGATCGCAGGGCTGCGAGAAAATGAGGTGTAAATGATGAATGACTCCACAGTGTGCATACAGTTATGGACATCCTGATTTTTTTTTTTTTCTGCCAGCACTAATGTTGGAGCACTTACGTCCATTTATACTGTTTTATAAAAAAGCCATGAGCATGTTGCTTTAGAGATTATATCTTCTATGGTCTTTATTTAAAATAGTTATCAAGTATTTCTTCTTAGTTAAAACCACATTAAGCTGTAGTTCTCTTATGAGCTGATATACTTAAGTGGAAAAGAAGTCTACATTAGTCATTAAACAGCAGTATTTGTTTAAAAATGTGAAACAATGATCAGACATCACACTCCAGCTGAGGAAAGATCATGGAGGCCATCTGCTGGTTTGATTACTGAACTGCGAGCAGTGTAGAAAACACCATACATCCCAGTTTATCTTCTCTGCCTATACAAGTCAGCGTTTTGGAACCCCAGACCATCTCATACAAACAACCACGACTACCCCCCCAGTGCCTCCAGCGCTTGTTGGAAGGAGTTAAGCGCTGTGATCCGATGGAGCGTAAGCTGGAGGAGGCACCAGCTGTTTGGACTGGTCAGCTTTGGCTCAGGGCCAGTTTCTGCAGAGCATTTGGCAAGCCAGCTGTGAGTGGAGTGGTACAAGCAGGAGAGCTTTCTTTCACTCTGGGGTTGTGCCATTGTGTTGTGTTTACTACAGAACCATTATTTTCAGCATTTTACAACTCTCCTGTTAAACAATCACAATGCCAGCTGTGTGCTAAAGAAAAAGAAGGCGTGAGGGCTTCATCAAATCCACAAATGAGTCCATGGATAATCACAAGAGGAAGGCTTCTAGTTATACATAATGGAAGAAATAGACCTAAGATGATACAATAAAGTTAAATATCATGTTTTAGAGGAAAGTACAAATCTCTTCTCCAAGCTTCAAGAGGGAAGCTTGAGATGTTGACATGTACAAAGTCCATTTGAATATATGCAAGGTATCAGTTACCAAAAGAATACAAACAAAATCCAGATCATTTGATGGAATGTTTGAAGCTTAGTCTAATTAATAGCAAACAAACCATTAAGACAGCTGGGGGGAAAATACACACAGGGACCTGTTGGGGGTCTTTTTTTTTTTTTTTACAAATGACATTCCCTGGACTCTCATCCATGCCTCCAGTTGGCTTTCACACATCCATTTTTCAAGACGGGTGCGTAGCAGAGCAATGTGTCCATCAAATACTTAAAGGTAAACTCCCACACACTGTCTAACTTGCAAACAAACATTTATTGGCAACGTTTCTGGTACTGGACCTTCACCAGGCAAACGGTTTGTTAAAATGAGCAGGACATCTTCAATAGGAAGTGACTACAAGCCAGCAACCAATCAGCGTGATGACGTCAGCTTTTTGGTTGACAGCACACACACCAAAACTACCCGAAGCCTAAGAGAATATTCTTAACAACAACCATCAAAAATAAACAACTTAATAAAACTGAAGTCTGGACTTTTTCCAAGTCTTTTCAGTAAGACTTGTTGCTTTTGGAACATTCTTAGGTAGGTCATCAACAAGCTGCATACAAAATAAATGATAAATGAGTTTAAAGGGGGCAAAAATCAAGTATTCAAAAGTATAATGGAAAGGAGGAACCTGACCTGTTTCCACGTTCTCAGTGCTACACAGTATAAAATACAACTATTTATTTATTTCCCTTGCTGATATAAAGAATCATACTGCCTTTATTATTCACCTCATTCTCATAAGAAGCTGAGTAGGACTTTGAGCATGCTTCTTTCAATATTAACTAATTGGTTAAAGAATTTTGCATCAAAAGAAAATACACTTTACTAACTAACTTTTCTTTTATGTTCCTTAGTAACTTGACTCTCTATCAAACAATTCTACAATTCACTTAGCGGACACTTTTATCCAAAGCGATAGATATCAAAGTAAGTACAACACAAGCAAGGATCTACCACCACCGGGGGGCGACAGAGGAGAAGAGTCTAGTTAGAGACTTTGGGCCCTGTTGGGAAGGTTAGATCAGACGCCTTTCATTGGCAGAGCGTAGTGGAGAGGGGGGATGAGAGAGTTAAAGTAAGGAGGAGCAGTTTTTGTCGCTGTTTTGTAAGCAAGCAGCAGAGTTTTAAATCTGATGCGAGCAGTAACTGGGAGCCAGTGTAAGGAGATGAACAGCGGAGTGACATGTGCTCTTTTAGGAAGGTTGAAGACCAGTCGAGCTGCTGCATTTTGTATCATCTGCAGGGGTTTGATAGTGCATGTAGGAAGACCTGCCAGTAGAGAGTTGCAATAGTCGATGTGTGATATCACAAGATCCTGTACCAGGAGCTGTGTAGCGTGTTCTGACAGGTAAGGTCTGATCTTCCTGATGTTGTACAGGGCAAATCAACATGACCGCTAAAGCTGCATCTAGGAATGGAAGAAGCTGAGCGAACCAATCACACAAACTATTCAGACGTGTCCTTAAAACAGTAGAACATGAGTGACCTCCATTGGAAAACCTCTTACTTGTCTCTTTTATTTTTGTGATTGAATAAACTACATTTGTATTTCATTGTAAGATAATCCGTCGCTAAATGTCCCCGGTCACAACACTAAGAACTGTGAATTGACACAGTCGAATGTATCAGCATTTCTATGAAGACTGTGAAGAAAAAGGCCTGTGCTGTAATTAAACAGGATGAAGATAAAGAGCTGGCGGAGACAGGATATTGTTTGAGACTCAGATGTTATGAGATGTGCACTAGTCCTACAGGCCACTATATTTTGAGTTTCCAGAGTGTGATAAGAAACACCAGAGACGGATATTACGGTTTATGAAGACAGTGAACCACACTGAATACAAAAACGTTTTTTTTTTTTTTAGAGAAGTTTATTCCTTCACATTAAAATACAAACAATACAAAAATAAAGTGTTGAACATCTTTTTTAAACAAAAGATCAAATAAATAAATTCACTTGCATCTTACAAGTCACAGTCTTCAGCGCTGGAGTCACCGGGGCTGTTGCTGGTAGAAGTGGAGCTGCTGTGGCCCGTGTTGTGAGAGCCTGCTCGACTGCTTTTCTCTACAGGTGACGGGGAGGTGAAGGAGGCATCGTCATCAAACATGTGAAATGATTAAAAAACAAGATGGCAGGGGGGAAGTTTTCATACTCACTTTGATATTTCTTAAACCTTTTGGAGAGACAAGCCTTCACGTATTGTTGCAGCTGGCGCAGAGTGGACGACTTCAGCGTCTCAAAGTCAATCTCGAACTCTTCGGGGTTGGTTTCGCACGTCGAGGACTCGAGCGACTGGATGATCTGGACCACGCGGCCCAGCTTCATGCCCGACAGCCGATTAATGTCCAGGCTCAGCTGGTGCTTCTCGTCGTAAGTCAGCGGCAAAGACTCATCATCTGAATCCCAGTCCGCACTGCTTTTCCACACCTGCCTGAAATGTACAAAGAGTCAAACATCTCCATGTAAGAGTGGTTCAGCATTCAAATAGTTAATTGATGATTCACAACATCCTACCTGTTTTTTTTTGTATTTCCTTCATTCAGCCTGCTGTCTTCTGTCTTTTCTTTCCCCTTCTTTTGTTTGACCCCAGGGACTTTAGAGATTGCTGCGAGCTGTTCATGAGCCGCTTTGAGCTGGGGGAAGTGTCGACAACAGTAGTGTTAAAAAAACAACACACCAAGGAATCAAATACAAGTATAAGTATAAAGGTAGTTTCTGCCATGTGGTAGACTAGGTAGTATCAGCGTTGTCATTACCTGAAGCTCACATCAACAGAGCCTGGGTCTGTTTTGGTTGCTGTGGCAACTAAAGGGCCATAGCATTTATTAGCAGGGCATAGGGTCATAATTGGGATGAGGGGTGTCTTAAATGAGTGCTTATCCTTTTAATAGGATACCAGTATCTAGAGTTTATTTCAAATCTGTGTGCAGTGGATGTGACAAAGATTAGAGACAACAAATATTCAAGGTGTAAGAAGTACATTTGTAAATGGTGTAAACTGGTGTTATTAACTTTCATCCAAAACATGTTTACCAGCATGTGATGCATTGTCCATTCATCCTTCTAATAGTGTATAACAGTTCTTGTTAGAAATTCAAATGCTACATTTGAGTGACTCTGCACATGTTACTGCTGATGACAGGGCTCAAAGTAAAACATAAATCCTGAGCCTAAGGGGTCGAGACTAATTCAATGACAGACATGCTCGCGCCTGCCCGCACGCGCACTGAGCACTGATACAGTACGCTGCACGGAAGTAATCACCAACGTCCAGACCGCACTGAACACAACGACTGTCTTTGGGGGCTCCGGGCTACCAACAATGGAGCAAAACTAAGAGATGAACACATCTGCAGCAAGCTGCTGCACAAAATATGAAAATACATCATTTGAAGTTTTGCCTTTTGCATGCAAAAACCTAACAGCGAACACTCAACCACTTGCATGTAGTCCATTGGTCTTAAATGCCGATCATATGGGTGGAAAAATTCACCTGGAAAGCGCCTAGGATTACATGCTGCATTGCTAGATCCCTGTTGCCAAAACTGGACCTTTAACCCGGTTTCAGATTGGCTAGTAACATTGATTATGGGTATGTTGAGAGTGAGAGCTGCGTTACTCGCATACCATTGCCAGGTGAACTCCATGGATTGAACTTCATCAAGTGTGTCCACAAAAAATCTCACATGTAATCCATGAGGTCAAACTTTTGCATATATAAAATATATTTATTTTCCATCAACTAACTCATTCACTCCATTTTTAATAAATCAATGCCTGTTTCATTTAGCTGATAGAGGGTTAACATTCTCAGTCTTTTTATTGTATGCATGTGTCTAAGTGTGTGTGTATGAATACGTGTATAGGTTACTGTATATGTGTTTATATTTAATTTTGTTTTAAAATTGTGTAATTGGATTTGTTTAGTTGATTTATTTGTCTCTTAAGAGGTGAGGTCCCTTGTATAAGCCTGTTGGCTTCTTGACCTCTCCTGACACACCTTTTATGTTTTTTTGTTAATCCTATTTTGATGTATTCTTATGTGTGCTAATAAATAAATACAAAAATAAAAAGAGTGATGTGGGGGATTTTTTCTTTACAAAGAATGTGGTTATGAAAAAAACCTAAACTGTGATTAGGTGAGTACAGATTGTACAGTTTAGATTTTGATAAGCAGACACTGAGGAAAAAATAAGATTGTGAGTTACAGATCTATCCATGTAGAAACCTACTTGTTCATGCAACTCAGCAATACGGGTGGTCCGCTCCTCTTCTGAGTCACATTTGTCCAAGTTGACACCTGCGCTGCTTAAACCTGCACCGCTCAAACCGACACCGCTCAAACCTGCACCGCTCAAACCCGCACCGCTCATCAGTGGATTCAACTCTACTGGCTCGTCTGGCATCTTTGCAAACATCCTCTCGAACACACCCTGAAGAAGACACAAGCAGCACGACCATAGAAGCATGATGTGACACAGAAAACTGAGCTAAGAGAAGCAGAACATTTGACATCTTTCTTGAATTATTAGAGGTAATAAGTTCAGGCTCACTTGAAGTTTTCTGGCCATAGCAACAACCTCTTGGTGTGGAGGGTTGTATTTGTAGCAGTTGGAAAAAATTAACCTCACGTCTGCTGCGAAGCTCTGTGCGTCCTGGTACTCTCCTCCGTTCATCTTTTTCTGGAACATAAAAAGTTATCACAATAACCTCCATAATGGATACAACAAAACCTATTGATAAAATCTATATGTAAACAAACGGTTCATACTTTAACTGTGCTGAGGTCCATGGGGTATTTGATGATTTCATGATAATCCTTCAGCTGCAGAGCTTCAGCGTCCACAGGCTTGTAGAACGGCCAGGCAAAGCTTAGGAGTTTCTTAGACAGCAACTCCTTCAGGATATTTCTGCAATACTTGAGCTGTTGGCTTTCTTGTGGTTGGAGCCCCTTGTCCTCTGAGCCCTTCTGATGTTCAGATGTCCGCCTTTTCCGTTTCACCCCTTTCTTCTTTTTTGGCACGAAAGAGGAAAATCCTCAGAGTAAGTTCTGATTTTATAAAAAAACTTTGAGAGTTGAAACACAATCAGGGACTCACTTTTGTGATGGGCTGCGGTGGTCTGGGTGTGTTGCTGGGGACTGGTGGAGATGTGGGTTTGGTTGGTGATAAAAGTGAGGTCACAGTGTCATCCTGCTTACCTTTATTATGTTGACACAAATAAAAGGAAATAGGGAAAGTAGAAACATATAAATAGCAGTTTATGAGGGAATATTGAGACTGACTAAAATGGAAAAACCAAGCTGTTCAGCGGTTCAACGTTTACCTCGGGGGTATTTACAGGCATTGAAAATAAAATAGCTGATTGTCCCTTTTAGCACAGACTCAGGGTGACATTGATGTTTATGCAGGTTGAAATATACACCCTACACTCGCATAATAAATCTCACTCCAAGACAAACAACAGCAATGACAGTCACAATGTTTTACACACCTTTAAAATGCTTAATACAATCAAAGCTTAAATATCAAGGAAGATCTCAGTGTAACTTTTTCACTTTAGTTAATGGAATGCACACTGGGGTGGCATGAAAAACTGAAACTGAGAGCAGGGCCGACATTATGTTGTGTACATTTCAGGAAATGTCTACATTCATTTATTCTATTTACTAATGACCTTAATAAATGTTTTACATTAGAGGGAGAAAACTAAAGAGATGTATGACACACAGTATTTATGTTTACCTCAATCGAATCAAATTTTTTCAAGGTTTTTTTTCTTTATTTTTCCTCTCTCCTCCAGTCACACATCTAACTCGTACTTTAATCTGTGAGCCGTCTAAACCTACAGCAGTCTGCTGGTTTGTTGAATTCATGTGACCTGATCTCTCTGATTTAAATTCCTCCGTCCTTTACAATAACTATATCACGTCAGGAGCATGTGAAGTAGCCCCTGTTTGTATTCCTGTCGTATAGTAACATCTGTACCTGGAGAGACACTTTTTTTGCCCTTCCCCTTGGCTGCATCAGCAGAAATCTCCACCTCCCGCGGAGGCATCATTGCAACTTTTTGCAAGAAAACCTTTTCCAAGGCGAGGGACATCATCACTATGTCATCTGTAGGCTAGAGCGCACACACACACACAGGAAAACAAGAGATTTAGTTTTGAGAGGCATAACGACATGTATTATATATGATATGCAGTGTTTCCCCAACCATTATATTAGGGGGCGGCCCACCCCCCCAACGGCACCCCCCACCCCCCTTGATGGTCAAGTTCATTTCATTTTCTATAGCCTAAAGTGCCAGATAACAACAGAAGTCATAAAGATACCTTTCCTATAGAACAGGTCGACACCTTGTCATTTTATTAAACAAACTTAATAGCCTTATATTATTTATCTTATTTACACGACGGCATGTCATTTCTGTCTCTACATGGTCGCACGTTGTTAGGTGAGGGTTGTTTCTGCTGGATAAATCCAATGAAGAAATCGTGAAACAGACTGTAGATTATAACACCATTTAATCGGCCAAGGTCAGACAACTTTACCAACACGCATGCTTACAAATCACTGACAAAGTAACAGTGTTCACAGTGCTGCTTATATTCTGTTAAAAGGTGCAACCCACAAATTCCTTTCTATTTGGGTGCATCACTATAAAACAATAAAGATGACATGACATTTATTTGTATACGTAACAGATGTAGACTCTCTGTCTAACAAACAGTTGCTGACAACATATGGTTAGCTCTTAAACAAATAAAGATCTGCTACAATGTAGATGTTTCACCAAATAAGTTTACAGCTTCAGACACCCAAAGTAGGAGTGCTAACAGGTGCTAGACAGAATAATACATTTCACAAAGTTACCAAGATGAATTAATTTCATGAAAATTCGTACTAACGCGTTTACAATTCTCCTCTACACACGCACGCACGCACGCGCTCAGAAACGGGAGTTAAAGGAACAGCTCGCAGGACCACCCACCCCCCCCCCCCCCAGAGCTCTAAACCTAGGGGAAACACTGATATGTAACATACAAACCACAGCTCCTCACCTTATTATAGATGTAGCAGTTTGTGAACATGGTGTTGAGGTCTTGCATACAATCACTGGCACTCCAGTAGTAGTTGTTCTCTAGCCGTTGCTTGATGGTTCCTAAGTCCATGGGAGACTTTATGATGGTGTGATAATCCTGATGAAAGATAAAGTCTTACTATTAGTTTTCTTTAAAGGGCGCCAAAGTCTGACATTTAACTGACTTGAATCTTTGGATCCTGTATATCATGGTGCTTTAAGGTTCATAACAAATCTTAAGGTATCATCATTGTACATCGCCTTATTTGAGTTGGCTGGCCTGCATTGTCACCGGCATGTCCTCCGTTATAAGTCTATACTTAAAGCCACTGCACACTGAGTCTGTTTTTTCCTTAAAAGTTGAGGTATGTAAAAAAAAATAATAATAATAATAATAATAATAATAATAATAATAATATTCACATTTTACTAACTTTGTCATTATTTTATAAGGAACTGGTTTTTGATTTCCTGCGTTTTTTTCCGCATCCATCCCTGTTTTTGTGTTTGTAGCGTAACCTCAAATATGCCGTCAGCCGCTGTTCAGCATCAATTGATTCAACTGGTGATGTTCTTTTTTAATGTGTGGTTCCATAATAGAGAGCAGCTTAACAAACTGGACCACTGACATCCTGAAATACACCTGGGAACGATCAGGAGAATTCTGCAGCTCCTTATCAACAGGAAAAACTCTCCTTTATCGACGGGTGAAACTCTTCTTGTTCTTGTTTTTTTTTTTGTAGACAGACCTCGTTTTTTAAAATTTTTCAAAGAGTGATATAACCACAAAATCAACTTCACTGCATCCATCAATTTTTCCCAAATAGCTAATTTTTGCAATTATTGAAAAAATAAAAGCATCTGACTCAATGTTTTTTCCCCACTGGAACAAAACAGACTCAGTGTGCAAAGGCCTTTAGTCTGCTTCCCTCATTACTTGTGTAATTGGCTTCATGTGAACATCGATGCAAGCCAAAGTCTTTGCTCTGTAATCCAGTCTCAAAACGTATTGGTGTTATCTGTTTCCAAAGTGCGTCTTGAAATGGTAAAAAAGGAGTTTCAGGTACGATACTACTGCAGGATGATCCGTGTCTGAGCTGATCTCTTCAAATCTTTTAAAAGTAGATTGAAGGTGTTGGAGGAAGATGCTTCAGGTTGTACATTCTTTGAATAATGACTTTCCTGCTCTGTGACTCAGGATATACTCATCTGTATCTGTAGTTGCTCTGTGTTTTACTTCTGGAACTTCTTTATTGTGCTGCTGCCCCTCTTGGCCAGGACACTCTTGTAAATGCTGAAGTCCTTAACTTTAACACTGACAAGGTTTTATACATCAAGGAAAATTCTAGGTCATGTTGGTTTTTTTCTTGTCGTGTTTTTGACTTTCACTATCAAGTCATGCGGTTAACTACATTAAGATATTAATAAAAAAGGAGGGTATAGCAACTTGCCTATTTGTTATTAAAGTGCTTAATTCATTATCTTTGTACTGAGTACATAAATAATAAACCTGAGCCTTGAGCCTGTCTTGGAATTTGAATTGCCTTTTTCTGGATTATCTCAATAAATAAAAAGATAAAGAATAAGCACCACATGCTGAAAAAGTGTACTAATGCTTCTCAGTTAAAGAGTTTAGAGAATACTAAACTACTCACTGGTAGTCCAAGTTGGACTGCATCAACTGGTTGGTGAAACGGCCAGGCGAACTGGTGCCGCCACAGGGACTTGATCACCACATTCTGCATGAACTTCAGCTGGTTGGTCCTTCGACCCGGTGATTTAGGGTTGGTCACCTCAGGAGGCGGAGGATTGACAGCTTGTGAAGGGTGCTGGACCCCTGACATGATGATCACGGCTGGAACAGCTTGCTGTCTTTGATGGTTTCTTGTATATTCTGTGAATTCTTGCTTTCGTCTGCCAGCTCACTGAAGGCTCCGAGGGAAAACCAGGCTCCTTCATTCATAAGTTTCAAGCAAGACAATTTGATCTGTAGACACAAAAAAAAAAGGCAGTCAGATCAAATGAGCAGATTTAAAGACTCAGGTTACAAGATATAAAACAGAGTAATAGAAAAGACAGTTTGAACAGCTCACATTAATGCATCACCCTGGCTGTTTATCATTTGCTGCTGTATGATACTAAACTATGCATGCGTGTTGGAATCGTGATTGCTTAGAATTGTGTTTACATACAAGCCAGGGAGTGACTGAAATATTTGTTATAATTATATTTTAATGACAGTTTTTTTTATACATTGTAGTCATCTTATTATGGTAAAACAATATTGTCTTTGAATACCTGCGTTGTTTAGATAAGGCGGGCAGAGTCAGTGGCATCACTTCTTAAAACTCACTTTCATAGACTTGCTTTTATGTGATTTCTCCTTTAAAGATCTCTCTCTTTCTTTTATCAATTGTATTGCTTTTAACCTTTTTATCTTTCTCTTCTATAAATGTTTTAGCCTTTAAATGTATCCCTTCCTGTATTCATTTTACTGCTCATAGTCTTTTTAAATTCCTACTCCTTTTATTGTTCAACTCTTCAGTTCTCTGTTGCTTTATTCATTTAACCAATGTCCTGTTTATCCCTTCTTTTTATCTTCATTCTGTGTTTACAGCCTGTGATGTGATGTCGTCCCACTCTCCCTCAATTTTCATTTTGTTCTCTCCTGATTGATTTTAAACTAATTTTCCTTCATTGTAATGAACTGCCTCTCCATACCTGTTATTTGCATTTTTACAATTTTGCCCTCTGTTGATCTCTGTTCTGTTGTCGTGTTGCTGTATTTGCTTTGTCTGTCACAGCACTTGTAAACAATTGTTTTTAAAGGTGCTATATAAATAAAGCTATTATTATTATTATTTGTATTATCTGACACATAGGACGTGGAGCAGAAAGCTTCGAGAGGCTGATGTTAGTGTGACATGTGACGCTTGATAATTCTGACCTGTTGTTTCTTTCTGTAGAGAGATAGTGGACACTTCTGCAGAACAATGACTTGTAACAGTTGAACATGTTTTTTCCCAGACAGTGTGCAGATTAATTTAAAATAACATGTTTTTTAATCGACCACGCGTGATAATAAAAGCTAACATGAGACTCTCTGGTCATAAAGGATCAAACATGATCACCATGTTATAAAAACAACATTTCAGCTCATGTTATGGAGGACTGAGAAGTGGTAGTAACTATTGCAGGGGGGCTAACTTTCACTGTTAATTGTGTATTATTAGCTTTATGTTATTAAGCTAACTTAGCTGACGAAAGCGGAGGCAGCACAACTAAAAAAAAAAGTCAAGTTGCAATTAACAAAATTAGAAATGTTGGTAAGCATGATTTGTTACTTGGTATAGTTAATAAAAGTCTTGTCTGAGAGTCATTTACTTTAAGCGTGTGAAGTCAAAGCACGATGTCTTTTCTTCACTTCACGACCTACCTTGCAGCTTAGCGTTACCTGCATGAAACTCCGACGTATCTTTGTTGTTTGTCGGCGGACGATGGAGAACTCCCTGCTCAGGACGAAGATACTGGAAATGTTACAAACTGGTTTAATAAAAAATAAATAAACTCGTCGGGACAGAAGTTCAAGCGCTGTTGAAATTCAAGAGGCTAAACGCTACAAGCAGACCAAAGTTACAAAGCCCAGTTCACTACTGAGCGACCCTCAGGAGGAACTTTTGGGCTAAAAACTTTCTTAGGAACAGATAAAACCTGCAACATGGTATTTTTCACTCCAACCTTTTATCATCCTAGCAGGTTGTCAACAATGTGGACAGCGCCACCTAGTTTCCTGGAGTGCGTTGATACTGCTATCTGTAATTACCACATTGTAGTACAGATTAAATTATAAAACATGTATATAACATAACATTACACTATTTTCAGTAGGAAAAAAAATGATTTAAATCGAGCCGTGATTTTTCAGAACTAGTGAGAACAGTTATCTTGCGTTTAGCGATTTCTGTCCCTCAATTGTTTCCGTTGTCTCATTGGCTAAGACGCATGCGTACAGAAGCACAACCATACCACTTACCACATTCCCCGCTTCTCCTCTGAGCCAAAAAAAAAACCCAGGCGCAAGCCAATTGATTTCTACGTTTTCAATGATCGTCTGAGGAATTGTTCGGTGTTTTTTTTGCTACCAATCTCAAAGCAGCAACAAGCTATCCACGGCGCTGCATTAAATCCCCGTAAGTATGTGTTTTGTGAATGGTTTCTCATTGTTTGAATGGAGGGCCCCTCCTCTACAGCTCAGCCAGTTTGTCAACAGCATCAATGCTACATGATCACACTGCCCATTAGCTCCAGTAAAACCAGTGGATTAAACCAGTTAAGTCTCTATATGTGACGGGCTTCACTTCTTTAATGTTGGATTGAATGTGAAGTTACAATAGCGTGATTTATAATTCTCAGTTAAGACCCTTTGTTTGTCTTCCCCCTTTTCATATTAAATGTATTTAAAGTAACTCAAGTAAAGGTTAACATTATCATTATACTTCTACCTACTGGTTTTATCTACCGATATGAGATATGATGTCTTATGTAATGTTGTTCATCTTAATATGACAAGTAGACGTCTGTAATCTTAGCGCTAAGCTAACCAGGCTACATGGCAGGTTAAAGGGGAACCCTACGTAGTGTTTGACTGTAATTCAAAGAGATATTCATTATACGAGGAATAGTTTCAGGTTGTAAAGCTTTACATCTACTGTAATATGCAGAGAAAGCACAGGTTTACACATGATGTCAAAACACTATAAATCTATATTTTACAGTGGCTGTCTCCTTTATTCAATAGTAAATCACTTTATTGCACATTTCAAGTTTACTTTTTCTTCAATTTTATTTTATTTACCATTTTGTTTTGTACCTTTTGCACTACTTAGAATTTATTACTGTAAATATTATTTATCTTATTTTACCTCATTTTATTTGATCTATTTTACCTTATTTTGGTTGTATTGCACCGTGGGACAAACGCAATTTCGATTCCACTGTATGTCTGGCATATTTTAAAATTGACAATAAAGTTGACTTTGACTTGACTTACAATCTGACTGTTCACTTGTCACGTTTGAATAACTGTAAATGTTTGACTGTAAGTCTTTCAGTGTTTTAAAATAATCCTGAGATAATATTGCAACACATGATACCGGTAGACATGAATTGTCAGTGAATGTAAAATAGTGTAAGAAATTCTAATAGTGTTTTTGTTTCCCCTGTGTGTCAGGAGTGTACTCAACAGATGCTCTTCACCTCTCACAATGGCAACAGAAGATAAGAAACCAGACACAGACACAAAACCTCCAGTCGTACCATCAGCCAGTCAAAGCAAGGTGTGTGTGTGTGTGTGTGTGTGTGTGTGTGTGTGTGTGTGTGTGTGTGTGTGTGTGTGTGTGTGTGTGTGTGTGTGTGTGTGTGTGTGTGTGTGTGTGTGTGTGTGTGTGTGTGTGTGTGTGTGTGTGTGTGTGTGTGTGTGTGTGTGTGTGTGTGTGTGTGTGTGTGTGTGTGTGAGATTTGTTGAATTGGAGCACTCTGTCACGTTTTCTCATTTAGAGATTTTTAAATGCTCTGTTTTTTTTAAAATTGCATTTACAGTCTGCACCTGCCAAGCCAAACTACACCCTGAAGTTCACATTAGCAGGCCACACAAAGGCGGTGTCCTCCGTCAAATTCAGCCCGAGTGGAGAATGGCTCGCCAGCTCATGTGAGAGTTTATTTCCTTTCTTTAGATTTTCACTGTTTCATTCCTCTGCAGCATATAGACTGTAAAATAATGACTGCAAAGAACAATTGTTTGTCTGTGTATTGCTCTGCCTTTTGTTTCTCTGTTATTATTATTTTGTCATATGATAAAAAAAAATACATTTTCTTATTTGGTAACTGAAGGCAGAGAGAATATTTGGCATTTTATCTTAGAAGATACCTGAATTTATTTTTACTGAAAGTGAAATACCGGTATATTTGATTCACAGTGAAATATACTCATGAAAGTGTATTTGTTATGTTTACAGCGGCTGATAAACTCATCAAGATCTGGGGAGCGTATGACGGCAAGTTTGAGAAAACCATCTCCGGTCACAAACTGGTGAGTTCTACACATTCTCTCATCCTCACCGCTGCAGTCTTTTTGCTCTTTGGTCGTGTTTTCTTTTTTTTTTTAAAGAATGGAGTTCCTCATTTTGACTCTGTAGGGTATATCTGACGTGGCCTGGTCCTCAGACTCTAACCTCCTGGTGTCTGCATCTGATGACAAAACCCTGAAGATCTGGGACGTCAGCTCGGTAAGAGAAAGGAAACATTGTTTGTGACACTGAACATGACAACACAGGCATGAAGACTGTATATTACATCCACACTCACTCTTTAACTTATCTGTTTGAGTATTTTGAAATCACTATTTCAATGTCAGCTTTTAAACATCTGGAGGTTGTGTTTCTCTCTTTTTCTTCACCTCAGGGGAAATGCTTGAAAACTCTTAAAGGTCACAGCAACTACGTATTCTGCTGCAACTTCAACCCCCCAGTCCAACCTCATCGTGTCAGGATCGGTGAGTGAGAAGCTTGAGGCGGGAAACTTGCAACATCCCAAAAAAAAAAAAAAGTCTCTGTGCAGAGAGAGAAACACTTTTGTTGTTCTACTTCCAGTTTGATGAGAGCGTACGGATTTGGGACGTGAAGACGGGGAAATGTTTGAAGACATTGCCAGCTCATTCGGACCCTGTTTCTGCTGTGAGTCTTCTTTTATTTCTCTTCTTTTTAAATGTTAGATTCATGAACTTTGCATCATAATTTACAATGATCTGCCTGGGCTTTCAGGTTCATTTCAACAGAGACGGCTCCCTGATTGTGTCCAGTAGCTACGACGGCCTTTGGTGAGAACACACTCCATCTATTGAGTCCATGTTCATTTGAAAACAGTTTAGGATTCGATCATTGTGGCTCTTCAGACGCCGTTCAGTTCGCATGTTATTTTTTTATCAAAACAAACGAGTCCACCTCGCATTTATTGTCGGTCAGAAAAACGCCGGCTGTGCAATCAGGAGCGCCGACATGAAGCGTTTGTGCGCTGAGAATCAAAGCGTTGCACGTCCGTCCTGTCTCTATGACAACAGCTGCTGTGTGACCGACACCGCTCTGTCCCTTATTTGAGATCGTTTTTACCCCAGCAGATGCAGAGAAAAGAGGATGTGGGCACAAGACACGATCCATAGGAGACAAAAATATCCTACATTTTAAAAACAGCGTCAACAACACCTTTCTGAAAAGTTAAAGGATTATCAACTCCAAGTACGGTACTTGGAGCGGCCGCAAAAAAAAAAAGGCTGAGCGCTCGGAAAAGATGCTGGGCGCTGGATGAGTGCTCCTGCAAACACTCTCTCCTCATGGAAACAATGGAATAAAGACACTGGCGCTTAGAAAAACCGCGAGGTGGATACGGGGTCTTATAGTACGTATTTGTCTAGTGGCCAATCAGAGGGAAGTTTGTCTTTGACAGAGGAGTAAATGTTACTCCTCAGATTTCTTATCGTTCTCTTTAGTGTCTACTTGTGATTGTTTATTCATCTCTCATTGATTGATTTTGTTGTTTTTTGACATTCTCAGCCGAATCTGGGACACGGCATCGGGGCAGTGTTTAAAGACACTCATAGGTAAGGTAACACAGTATGTGTTCTGCTTTTAGACCCTGTGGACAGTGATGATTTATTTATTATTATTCAATGTTCAATGTGCTGCTCACTTCCTGTTCTTGTGTCCATGTTACAGACGATGACAACCCTCCCGTGTCCTTTGTGAAGTTTTCCCCCAATGGGAAATACATCCTGGCGGCTACATTGGACAAGTGAGTATAAATCAAGTTGTTTATTTATTTTACACATCTTCTCCAGCAGGGGGCAGTATAACACTATCACCATTATCACTGGCTGCAGTTTAATCTATACAGAGATAATCAAATACATGCTGTAAAGGATTTAAGTGTCATTGTTGGACTTTTTAAAACTTCTGATTTAGAGAGAGGACAGTGAGTAGAGTCAGAAACCGAGGAGAGAGAGGGTGAGGGGGAAAGGAGCCATAAGTTGGATTTGAGCCTGTGCCACCCTCTAGGGATGACCACAGCCTCTGTACATGGGGGGAGCATGCTGACCACTAGGCCGCCAGCACCGATGGAAAAATAGTTTTAGCATTTTTAATCTTGATAAAATGTTTTAATGGAAAGCACTGATTTATCTGTGATTACTTTTCAGCACGCTAAAGCTGTGGGATTACAGCAAAGGAAAGGTAGGCTCAACTTTTAGAATTCAAGATTTAAAGAAAAAATGACAAAGTTCATCCTGCATATTGATGATTGATGTTGTTTTTTATTCTTGAAGAAAGTATTTATTTAGTTTTTATGTGAATTTGCCTCATTTTCATTGGTTAAAAAAAGTTTAAATGAATTTCTCTCCAGGCATCTAAATCCTGTTTCTAAAGAATGATTATGTTTTAATTAAGATTGCATTACAGGATTAGTTATATTTGTGACAGTGTGATACTGATAAGTAACGTTTTTGATGTCCTCTTCCTTCTACATTTCAGTGCTTGAAAACGTACACAGGCCATAAAAACGAGAAGTACTGCATATTTGCAAATTTCTCTGTCACCGGTGGAAAGGTAAAAACGTTTTTTTGTTTCTAACACAGTAACAGTTGATGTTAAATGTAATAAAAATGTTGAATGAAAAGTTGTTTCTATATAATACCTTACATTTAGTTTCTCCTTTAACCTGTAGAAATAGTTGTTTGGTGTCGTGTCTTGCTGTTACTCACCCATGAATTCTTTTGAATCTCTCACAGTGGATCGTGTCGGGCTCCGAGGACAACATGGTTTATATCTGGAACCTGCAGACAAAGGAGATTGTGCAGAAACTCCAGGGCCACACAGGTACACGGACATCAGCACGTGTTCTTTTCAAGATTTATTTTTATTATTTTATTTTATTTGGAGAGATTGGATAGTCGGAAATCAGGAAGAGAGAGAGAGAGTGGGGACGGGAACCACAGGTCGGATTCGAACCTGGGCCGCCCGTCTGGAGGACCACAGCCTCCGCACATGGGGTGCAAGTACCAACCGTTGCGTCACCAGTGCCCTAGCTCGTGTCTTTTTTTTGTTTGAAAGCAAAGATGAAAGAAAACAGAGCACCATGCTGCTCATCAGTCTCACTTTAAAGAAGAAAAGACAAATGTAATATTGTTAACATTTCCTCTTCTCGTCTTTTTCAGATGTCGTCATTTCAACCGCCTGCCACCCGACAGAGAACATCATCGCATCCGCGGCGTTAGAAAACGACAAAACCATCAAGCTATGGAAAAGCGACTGCTAAGCCTTCTCAGATCTTTTGAGCCATTCATATTTTCCTTCTCCTTTTTTTTTGAATACAATTTTTTTTCTACTTTCTTGTTGTAAGAGAAGAGGACTCGTTTTCTAACGGAGAGCTCCTGCGGGGGTTACAGAGGGGCTTTTCAGGTGATGAAATTCAGCAAGCAGAACCAAATGAGACCCATCAGCCAAACACAGTATCAAATAAGAAAAAGCAGACGCTGCACTGGGATGTTGTCCTGTTGTCACATGTTTGTTTTTGAAATGGTCTCTGTGTGGATACTCTGCATCTGGTGCTACTGTATCTGTGACACTGCATCATTGACCGTGATGTCACTGCTTCATACCAGCTCTTCTGTATTTGTACAATAAATGTCATGCTTAAGGGGTCTTTCTTTGAGTTCTTTTTTGCCTTTTGAATTTGTCTGTTTGATTGTGTAATGCCGTCTTAGTAACTTTAAAAGTAGAGGAGTGATTTTCCCCACCAAGAATTAGTTTAAAAAGGGTTTAAAAAGTCTTTAATTTATTTAAGTGGTGTTTTTTATCCCCCCAAAGGATCTCAAGTAAGTGCTTTGTGCCATAACAAGATCCACATTTAAATTCTTTATAAGGGGAAAGGATCAGGATCTGAAGTGGAGTTAGGAAACACTTTGAACAAAGCAAAGATGTCAGAGAATGATTCCCCAAAAAATCCAAATGTTAGACATTACCTTCTCTTTAAGGAATGCATACGCCCACCTGTCAAAATGTCTTTTACAGTTCACAGTTTTCAACAGTGACCAAATGTGTGTTGTAGGATGTTTTTTGTACATATATTGGCATGTATTGTTTTTTTATATAGCTGTGTATGTTTTGTTCTCTGCTCATGCTGCAGCTCGTCACAGACAACAAGCAGCGTCTCTCCTCTGTAGTTAACCCTGGATCTGTGTCTTTATGTTTGCATTGGACAGCTATAACTGACCTGCTACTTAATAAAAACATGTTTTTGTATGTTTCATGCCACTGAGTTGTGAGTGAAAGTCATATTCATCTTTAAACATCACCAAGAGTCCACTGTCATCACTTTGAAGTTTTTTTTTTAATAACCGTTTTTTTCTGTCCATGAAAGATAGAACAACCCACAAAGAACAGATGACAAAAAAATCCATCTCCTTAAAAATAGACCAAAAAAACATTCCCATCTTGCAGCGACAGGTTGAACATGGCAAAGTAAAAGCGAAAACAGTTACTGAGGCGCCAAAGCAAAAAACGACTTCTGTCGCTTTGAATTTTCAATCTGAAAATTGTCTCTTGCCTCGGCCGAAGAAGCTTTTCCACAATGTATACAACAGCCCACAAAAGAAAAGGGGAAAAAACAGTACACAAGCGAGGGATAAAATTACCTTTGTACAAAAATAGATCTTTTTTCCAAGTGTTTTTTTTTTTCATCTTTTTTTTTTCTCACTTGAACATTTATTTTCCTGTCTATGCAACAAAGAAAGCAGTGATTGTGTCACAAGCTCAGCTTTTCCTGATTACACTTTTTGAACACAATTGCAAAGCAACAAATAACATTTGAGGGTTTAAAGTCTGAACCTGTTTTTTCCTCTTTTTTTAATTCTCTTGAGGTTGGAGAAACTGCTGGAAAGCTGGTTGTTTTTTTTCTTTCTGTTTAGAGCTGCTGTGTTTCTTGCTGGTTAATCAGGACTCATTTTTATAAAGTCAGGCTGAAATAAAAAAACAACACCTCAGAAATGTGTGAGAAAAAGAACATGGTAAAACTCTGAGTTGAAGAGAACACCTGGATGTGGAACGGTTTGGTCTAAAAAGACTCGTCTCCCTCGTTCGATGTCGGAAATACTCGAGGAACAGCTCTGTCGATATATATTTATAAATATATACACATATACATATTAACAAAATAGAGCTTTATGTTATAAAGCATTCATGTAGCTAAGCAGTCTATGTTTCTTAAGGTCAACCTTAAGGTTCATAGTCTGTATATTTCTCGCAGGGGGAGTGAGCTTGTACATAAACGTCCACCTTATGGCTTAAGATACCTGCGCTCATCCATCACAGTAAACTAAGAGGAGGAGACATCACAATTAAGGGCATAGCAGGATTATTTGTTTTGAAGTTGGGTCACCAAGTTAGATAATGAACGCTCAATCGTTTGATATCAGCTTCAAATTGGGATTAAAATCTGCACATTCCCTCCAAAAAAATCATCAGAGTGAAGCTTCTCTTTGCTGTAATGAGTGCAATCGTCGTTTCATCAAACACCATGTAGAATTTGTTTTATCCAGAATATAAATACTGTAAACTGAGCTCAAACTGGCAGTCAATACTGTCACCTGGATAGATGATTTAAATACAGGCCACCTCCATCATTCAAACAAGTCAAGAAGTCATACTGAAGTTATTGCTACACAGACTCTTGAGGTTTTGTCTAAACCCGAGGAAACGATGATGCGATCGCTGTGAGACAAGTGCCATCTTTTTGTCTGATTAAATACTTGTAGAAAAATTCAAGTAATGATGCAGCTCTGCTTCTCTACCACTAGAGGGAGCTCACAGCTCTTAAACACTCTAACTGTGATGTGTGTTGTTGTAGTCCTGCGTGAGGTGGACAGAGATCACTGAGGTGTCTGAGAGTCGCTTTTAGAGATTCATTTAAAAAAAAGGCCAATGTATCATACGTGTTATGACCAGAGTCAACCGCTCTATGGAGTCCTGATGGTGCCACTAGAATAATCAGACTTTTTTTTCAGACATAATAATTATTAAAGAAAATGCAAAACTGAAAACAAAACAACATGAAGTGGAATACAGTCCAATTAGATCTTCAGTAACTGCTCAATCACAAGATGTAAACTACACATGAACCTGAACAAAACTCTTTTTAAGAGTTCAGAGTTATAGATTTTTATTTTTAATATAATTCTACATTTTGTTATATGGGAATTTGAATGCATAATTAAAATTATCTTTAATCTTTGAATTGATTCCATTTAATATAAATGTTTACTTGAACTGGTTATTGAAATGGCACTCTCAGGACTCCACACATTTCAGTTAATGAACGGTAGCTTTAAACATAGTGTTCACTTTATAGTGTCTGGTGATTTAGTTTTCTCTTCGGCATTTTCTCACATTACACTCAGCAACAGTTATCATTTAGCATGGGTTTGAAATCTGCTGCACTCCACTGTTTTGTAAAACAATAAAGGAAAAACCAATATTGTTAGCGGTTTGTTTTCTGTGTATCTGTCCAGAGTGAATAAACCCTCGCAGAATGACTATCATATATCTGAATAGTGGAAAAATAACCTATATAAGACATTTACTCCAGACAAACACCAAACCCACACCTCCCAGAAATGTGTTTTTAAAAACGTATCAGACCTGTTGGAGCCAGACTAACATGCAACCCGCTCTGTAGACAATCTTTGGAAATGCACTCAATGCATAGTTTTGCAGCAGCTGCAGCATTTAAAGTAAAGGGGAGAGGAGAAAAAAAAAGCAGAATATGAGCATAAAGCATATTTATACACAACATGGAGATATCTAACATTTCAGTTGGATGTGAATGACACTTGGTTGTCCAGAGAAGTGCAGAGAGAGCGAGTGCGTGTGCCTCTGAGGAGGAGAACTATTTAGGCATTCCTGATTGGGCCAAATTCCAACTCAGAAGTCGATTACATCAACATCAGCTCTCCGATTAGGAACCTGACTCCACTGTCATGAGGTTAAGTGCCAAGTAACAAACAAATAAACAAAGAATGGCTCTGCTGCAACAACAAGCACTAGATTGATGGTTAGATGAGTGTCAAAGACTGAAGGATGGAGACGGAGGTAATAGTGCATCGCTGTTGTTCAAATTAAAAACTGATAACATCAATACTGTATATGGTTGTAACTTTCTGTACAGGTAGATATGAGGTGATTTGAAAAGCTAACTCCTGCTGCCATGAGCGGAGGGATTTCTGAGTGTGGAGGTGTAAATGGTGTGCTGAAATTCACATGAAATGAGAAGTGGAGATGTTTGAAAAGGGGACAGAATGGGGCTCAGACGAGACTGTGTGCTCACTTTACAGCCATCCAAGATTGTTGTGATCGCCTGTGAGGTTTTTCGGCATAGCCAGTTGTTTAAAGCAGAAGAGCAAAGATTGTTCCTGCCCCCTGCTGGTAGCCTTTCAGAGCATCATGTAGCATGAAGCTAATGTATGGCTAATTTACAGCAGCCTGAAGTACTGCAGAGATCGTACATAACAAGGTCTCCAAACTCTTGTTCAATCAGATAGCTTTAACCGACGGGCTGATTAGTGAACGAGTATGTTGTCCTCCCGGACGTTGCACAGTGCTAATAGAGTAAGACATGGTTGGATCTGTTGGAATTGGGCAGACCTGAGGTTTTTGGAGCACTTGCAGTCTCTGTTAACCCACCTCTGAATTCTGCTCCACAAAAGCTCACACTTCAAAAAAACAGCTAGTGCAAGACCTGACGCGTTTCAGTCGAGTCAGGCAGGAACAGACAAGTTCCTTTATGAGCAGACATACTGTCCCCCGCCGTCCCTCCCCAAAAAAGAAGTCCAGTCCTGAATAAGAGAGAGAGAGGGCTCAAGTCCAAGTCTAGACGGCCTGAGGCTCTCCCAGTCCACGATTGTCCCGATCACAACGCTGAGTGTCCAAAAATGACATCACCGCTGTTTTGTTTTTTCAATATACCTGCAAGCAAAACTGTGGGTGTTAAACCTGATCATCTCAGCTTTTTTTTTGACAAGGTGTACGTAAAACAAGGATGAAAACGATGGCTCAATGCGTTTTTTGTCCTCTGTCCGACCTTTTTTCAGTCCACTGCTGTCACTCGTGTTGCGGTGAGATTTTCATATATATATATTTCTTATTTATATATTTTTACAAGGTATAAAACCGACCCAAAGACATGATGAATTCATTGTTTTTTTTGCAACACATCAAAGGGAGCCGAGGAGAAAAGGGAACGAGGGAGGATGGGAGAAAGGGAGAGGTTCTCCATTCCAAGTCCCCACGTGATCTGTCCCTTGTTGGAGACAGGTTTTTTTGTTGTTGTTTGTTGTTAAAAAGGACCCTGCTCCAGATCCAGGGCTGGTGGGAGACATGGGGGGAGGAGCCCACTCTGCTATTATGTCATTTGATGCGGGGCTTCTAGCATCTCCATGAGGAAGGTGTCGATGGGCGTGTCGCCGATGAGCTTGAAGAAGAACAAGTGCTCCAGACACTTGAGGCCGATGGAGCGCAGCGCTGGTAACCGCAGCAACAGCTTGGCGAATCTGTCACATCACAAGACAAGAAAAAAGTTGTATATATGTGTTAGGTCGGTTAGGGAGGGATGAGAGGATTATCTGGGAGACAAACAATTAACACACTGACATTATTCAATCATCAATGAGTGCATGACAAGTAGACATCAAGTCTGCTTATGTGCTTATCGTGTGTAGTATGTAAACATTAACTAAATGAAGGTTTGTGTAGAAGGAGATTGGTGTTGATAAAATCTCATTTCAAAGAGCATGGGTTGCACTTTTAGAAGCTTATGAGTCACACTATTTTTGTATTTGTCTATCTGTAGAGTTAAACTCAGCTCAGAGTCTGGGGATCTGCACACACTCATTTCTGTGTTTGTGTTCATACCTGCCAGGCTGCTCGGGGTATTTCTGTTTGCAGTAGGCCTCTAAAGACGCGTACACTTTCTCTCTCAGAGCTTCTACCTCGCCTGGGTTGGACAGACCTTTAGAGTCTGTTGAAACATAAAAAAAACAACAAGTTAAAAAACAAACAAAAACACTTACAAGCAACAAGAAGAGGGATCCTGAACATGCATCGTAGTAGTTCTGAAGCTTTTATTCCGACATGATTAGACTGGAAGGTTTTACATGAGTGAACGCCCCTTCATTGTATTCCTGGAAATGTATTTGCTCATGTACAACTTGCAATATCAATTCATAAAGAATACAAAGTGTGTTATTGTGAGTAAGGGCTTTAAGGGGCCTTTTCTTCTATCCATGTGTCTCGTATGTATCGCTGACCAGACGATAAGTAGAGCAAAAAAAAAAGGTTGGAAGGGGTTTCCAGAGTCACGTCCCCTTGCAGTGATGCTTGACAGAGAGATGAGGCGGACTAACTTGAATCCTGAGTTTTAACTCTGCAGACTCATGGAGGACATGTGTCACCTCATTCTGGGTTTCTCCAATTAAGACTGTCATGTCCAAGCTGTGCTAAATTAGGCTTCAGTGGAGGAGCCCTCTCTGATAGACGACACAAACACGTCATTGATTAAGATTTCTGACGGACAGAAACATTGCACAATTGATCAACAATGAATGACCATTTGTTGTTAATGGCTGGACTTGATGACACAGTGTGGGAAAGGAAGGGCTGAGGGCCTTTTGAGCCTCGTCACCACCCCTGTCCTCCAAAGCCCCCCCAGCTTCTGCTTTCTCAGTCAGGACAGTCTAGCGCACCCCTAATTAAAAAAAAGGCGCCAGGCCGAGAAGCAAAAAGCGGGGCCACTAGGCTTGGATGTGACCCGGACACAATGTGGAACACAGAGGATCACTGTGTCTATGATGAACACAATGACAGTGGCACCAGAGGGACGGAGGGAGGCTGCCGCACTGAGTCATTAAAATCTTGGGTCACATTCATGGTTCATGGTTTAGAATACTTGTGTGCATACTGTGGTGTTTACATTCATAACTGCACACTCACAGAAGGAGTGGCACATGCCTAGACAATACAGGACAAAGTATTATGACGAAAACAGTAAATGCAGATAAGTCTTGTAACAATATTGAACTGTTTTTGTTATTTATTTTTTTGTTTATATGTTATTTTGTTGGTGTTGTTGTTTTGTTGTATTTCAAATATGAAAGCCTGACTGATATGAATGAAGGTCAATAAAACAGCAGCGTTCAGTAGGGGAGGGTTCTGCGGGATGCACCCTGCAGTCAAAAGAAAGCCACTGGTATCCTCTGATCCAGAAAGATCCTGATGTACTGTCCCACTCGAAGCTCTCTGTGTTCATAGGCATGGGATCACACCTGCATCACCAGGTAATTTGGGATCTCTCCTGTCCTCCCCCTTTCTCTTTCTCTGAAGTTTTTCATCTGTGTACTCCTGTCCCTTAAAGTATCTTCTTCTATGCAGAGTAAACGGCATGTCATAACAGCTAATCAGAGCGCTGCAGGCACAAGGAAATGTGGCGTGCCAAAGCAGTGCCTAAAAAAATTGGCTTATTGACAGTAAAGTATAGCGCTGAAACAAAATTCTTAATATAGCAAACACTTACAGTATATCATCATTCATATCATCATGTAAAGCCTAGAGTCCATGCATGGCACTCTGCACCTCATACAACCCCAATCAAAAATACCCAACTATCCCTTTAAGCTTTGAATCAGTTCTCAGTCATTTTCTATTCGATCAATATGAAGGTCGGTTCATGTTTTCTCCCCGTCTATAGCAGCCCCACAGCCCATTTTGGATGATTCAGTGCTCTGTTACACACTGGATTTCAACCAGTAAAAGTTTATTATAGCTGTTTTAGCATCTTAAATGGGTAAGCCATTTCCCTGATGAGCTCTACTTCACTGTCAGCTGATCCCTTTTGGTTCAAGGTAAGATTTTAACTTGAAAACAATGAAGACGTTTGACAATATCAAGTATAAACAGCTTTAGATGCTTTTCATCTGCGGCAGCAAAGAACAGCTGGAATAAAAAGTGAGCGTTACCTGGGTTGAAAAGAACTATCGCTCGAAGGCACCCCAGTTCTGTCTTATCCATTTGCATGTCCCTCATCTTTGACACCAGTTCTGTGAGCACTCTGCAAAGAGAGACAAAAGAAACATAGAAAACAAAGTTACATCTTTTTAATAAAAAAATCTGAGGTTGGTTCAATCCGTCGTGGCCTCTAGACTTTTTTTTTGCATGATATCTGACCTCAGGAGTGCCAGAAAAGTTTAAGATCACAGGAAACACTTGAGTCTAATTGGTACACTGAGCTTCCTACTGTACAAGTTATCCAGACTGGGACATTCAAAATGTGTTTTTAACGGCTACTCTGCTCAAAAACAGATACACATAACTAGTCTCTCAGCCCACAAAGGCACTGTAATATCAGTGGAAAAGTTTTACAACTCTACAGAGTATATTTAGTACATGGTTTTTCATAAAGGGAAAGCCACAGAGTAAACACAAGCTGTAATCTAACACCAGCACTCCCACTGTCTGTGTGTGACATCACTGGTGCGAGTGTTGGAGTCACTCGAACTCCTCACCCCTCTTTGACTCGGTCACACCCTCTCCTCGCCACTCTGTGTTTCCCCCTCTCACTCTCGTTTTTTTTTTTTCTTGCCTCAGATAGTAAAGTCAATTGTGGCTCTTAGCTCATTCTAATTCAATTTGCTCCAAGCAGGAACAACAGGGCTATAAAAGAAAGAGAGAGAGAGACAAAAAGGGAGAAGAAAAGACTCAAGTGTTTCACTTAATCTGTGTCTTTATTCGTGCGGTGAAGAGAGAGAGAGAGAGAGAGAGAGAGAGAGAGAGAGAGAGAGAGAGAGAGAGGAGTAGATAAAGAAACATTATCAGATCTCTGTGTCTAGCTGTGTGCCACAGTTCTTGCCAGAGATGGAACATGTCCTGTGGCTGTGAACGTTGGTGATTGAGAAGAAAAGCTATCGATCAGTGGGGGAAAGAAACAAAAGAGAAGAAGACAGAAAGCGTTTGATGGTTGCTAACAGTTACATTGTAAACTGTTCTATTGTATCTTAATTGCAGACAGGTATGTCTGATTTAAAGATTTATGAAATACTTTCTGTGTTCTGTTTTGTTGCTTTTCAGACTCAGTCTCCCTCAGCTCAGCTCAAGGTGCGATGCTGCTGAACAGACACCGCAGACCATCTCTCTGTCTGTCTGTCTGTCTGTCTGTCTGTCAGACACCTGGAATGTCAATAACAGTCACCAGGGTGTCTACTCCTGCACACACTTCACTTCACTGGAGTGACTTGTCTATGGATTTTTATGTCTTTTTTTTTTTACATTTTCTGAGCTGAGCTGTTCAGTGTTTCTGTGTTTCCTCTGATGCATACAGGTGTACATATTTAATACACTGCAGTCAATCAATAGCTCCTGTGCTGCTTTGCCTTTTGCAAAGTGCACTCGTGACTTTGATTGTACGTGTTATAATTCACAGAGAAACCTAAATGTCAGAGGCCATGAACCATGAATTCACTATGTAGGAAAAATCTATACATTAAAGGAGCGATCAGATTTGTAAATAAAGCTTTTGTAATAGTTAAAATGACATCTTAATGCTTTTAAGATAATTAAATAGCAATTCATAACTGAAAATGTTCGGTAAAAAAGATAAAGTAAGTTGTGCTGTTGAGAATGAAATATATAATAACCTAGCAAACTAAAATAAATATAAGGGTCTTATTACTGGTCAATAAACATCCAACATAAAAAACGTATATGTACATTTTAAGTATCTCCAGATTGTTACCACTCTGTAAGTCTTCATTGAAAAATTCTATCAGTTTAAATAATTCATAAAAAATGTATTAAAGGTCACATATCACCATATTTTATTAACACTAACATGTGTCACCACTGTGTCTACAAACCCTCAAATTATAAAATATAAATTATAAAATAAAAATCCATCCTCTCTGTCTTTTGCCTTCTTCACTCTTCAGAAAATGTGTGCTCAAACAGGCCGTTAGCAGATTTTCCCTTTGTGACATCACAAAGGGAATTCCCCTTTGTGATGTCACGCTGGAGAGTTTTTTTTCCTGAGTGACGATCAGCCGCCAGCACCGAGGGGCCACGCGGCCTCGGGTGCGGGGATCTCAAACTTTAACCCCTCTCCCAGGTGGGTTACACTCCCACAGTTAGGTGTTTGTTCTGCTCTCTGAGTCTGCCTTCTACCCGTAAACAAAACTTAAAACCGTAAACCTAAACTTGTTAAAAAGGAAGATAATTTTCAAACCTTTAAAAGGTTTAAAAATAAAGAAGTTAGCAGGTAGAAATAAACAACTTCATACTTCCAAAAATGTTTTTGCACAGTCAGCTGATTAGTGTCCAATTGAACATTTATAAATCCTTTACTACAAGTTTAAATTAGCTCACAAAATATCAGTAATACAGTAATCTGTATATTTAGTGATATAGTAATATATACCTGTCAAAGATGGCTCCAACTCCGGCACTATGGGCGCTGTTACGGTGGACGTGCAGCCCGGTCGCCAACAGAATCCCGTCTTTAATCGCTATTGAACGGTGGGAGAATGATGCAATGAGAAGTTCATTCCAACCTGCAGCAGAGACGGGAGAGAGAGAGATCGAGGAAAAGTATGAGGGAGGGGAGGAAAAAATCCCAGTACAAAAGTTCACACAGCATTCAAGCAAAATGAAACTGACAACAAAGGGGGAATTCCAATGAATCAATTAAGCTGGGCGGTGAAAGCGTGCAACTTTCTCCCGCACAGGCATCAGGTTATTACTAAGACGTTTGAATCATGCTTTCTGAAGAGACAAGCGTGTAAAAGGGATGAACTGCGCCTGCCATCACAATAAAGACAACAGGCTTGATGTGCCAAAGCAGGGGCTTGACACCGAGAGCAGTGAAGACACAAGATGCAGCCTTTTGAGTGACAGGGCTCCTTTAACTGTTCTGCCTGGCAACACTCGCCTCTTCTCCCCTGAGTTGAGTTGGGAATGAGAGGAGCCGGGATGCTTTTATCTGTGATACAGCAGAACTAAAGCGGTTATTTATAGAAAACCTGAGAGCCGAGAAAAGACGAGCTCTCCAGAATAATGTCTCTCTCTCTCTGCTCTGCTGACGTCTCTCCATCATTGTATGTGCAAAGGATAAGAAGTGATGGGAGGATTTTTTTCAGGCTTTGGGATGGGTGTGTAATAGCTTTTTTCCCCCCCTTAAGGTGGATTTTGAATATAATGGTGTAATTTGGAGCGACAAGCAGGCAACAAGGGCAAAGTGTTGGGAAAACCCAACAGACCCTCTTGCATGTGATGTTAGTGGATGTAAGAGAAGTGACAGATGATTCAATCCGTTTTTTTTTTGCGTTTCTGCTTCTGTGATCCGGAGCGGTTAGCTCTCTTTTCCACATCCAGCAGATACACACACTCTGTTCAAGCTGTTCTGACCTTGGTTAGGCTGACTCAGTCAGTTATTTATACAGATAAGTCTATTCAAGCTTCGTTTTGTGTAGATTTCTCCAGCTAGTTACAGATGGAGGGCTAGCATCTGTAATGCAGTGATTTCTCAGAGAGCTTTTCCTTCCACAGCTCAAAGACATCTCTGTGTTTGTCTGACTGTAGAGTTGCAACAATATGTATTTACTGTTGTGCAGGACCATGCAATTAAACATCTGCTCGTTTAAATCAAGAAAAAGGGAAATGGTGCGAGGGCTAAAAATCAACAACAACATATATTATATGATTCTAGAAATAGGCAGGCTATCAAGGTGGAAACTAGATGTTGAGGTCTAACACAATTTTTTTTATTTTACCTTTAAGCATAAGGACACAATTTTCACACTTTGCTTTTAGAAACAACAGTGTAGTTGCATGGAGCAATACTATTTATTTTATTTCTCTTTTAACAGCTGTTTAGAATTTAGCAAAATATTTTTTTTTTCTAATTTGTTTTCTACTGCAGATAGAAGCACATCATTGCAGACAGGATAATTAGCATATCATCACAGCAGCACCACATGAAGAACGACATTCAACAGGAACCAAACCTTAGGTATTTTTAACGACTTATCGAGTCCTGAAAGAGACTACTCTTGTGTGGTTTCCCTTTGTCTAGCCAGTGTGTTGTGGTATTTTTTAGCACCACCGTTTCACATTGTCTCAGCTGCACTGAAACCAGAAGAAGTACCAGCTGCTATCAACAATCTGAAATGAACAGTTTCCAGAAAGTAAAGCTGAGCTGAGCTGTACCATGCAGTAAAACGGGGCTTTACATTACACCTTCAGCAGCTCAGTCAAACTTCACTTATCAGTGTTCTAATCAGCCATGATAACAGAAAACATCTGTGTGGGTGTACAGGGCTTACGAAAAAGGGCCCAGTATTAGAAATATCAAAGATCAAACTAATCTAGCAACATTTGTTCAAATAACAAAGGCTTGATTCAAGTACCCACAAAGCTTTTACCTGTGTTTTTCTGTGGATGTATTTATGCAGAGTATGATTTCAACTACCGGCTGTCAGCTACATGTTCTTTTCTTTTTTTTAAATTGATTGTATCCAGGTATGGATGGGTCCTCATTGAGTTTCTTCACATTTTTTAATTGCCTTTTTAGTTTGTATCGTGTATACATCTTTTTAAAATATTTTCTACCTGCTCGTAGAAGGATGACCTGGTCGTCCAATGGCAGCTCAGAGAAGTGGGGGATCCTCTTGGCCCACTCCACAAGGGTAAAGAGCTGTTTGTCGGCCGCCTGGCAGATATTTGTCACCGGGTCGTTGGGCTGCAGGAAAAATGTAAAACAAAAATCAATAAATCTGAACGTTAGAAATGAAAGTGATGCCTGAAAAAGGTGTCACAAGAAAAGGTGTTTTTTCTGTTATAAAGTCTTTTGGCTGAGAGATTGGAGCCACCTATCACCACAACACATTCACACTTACTCGAGTGCTTTGCTGTGAGTAATAGCCTCAAAAGAGGAGCAAGAAGGAAGACAAAACAAACAGTGATTCTGTTCCAGCTTGTGGAGGAAATACCTGCAGAGAGCAAAACGACTTTCACCACACGGGCTCTTTTCTTTGGGGACCTTTTAGCGGACACACAAATCACTCTGAGACAGCGAGTGGAGCTCAAGAGGCCCCTCCTGACACTCGAGCAACTCTTCACTACATAACAAGTGCTTAGGAGCTAAAAGGGGACTTTAGAACCAGACAGGGCAGGGCTTTGTAAAAGTCAGAATATATATAAATAATATCTCAATTAAGGACCGACACAAAATACTATCTTCATTTTAGTACCTATCCAACACTGAAGCCAGATGGAATGTATTTATCATATATAACATTTGTCATCTCTGATAAATACTTCTGAGAAGGAAGAATGCATTTTATTAAATGATCAAAAACAAGCAGTTCTTGGTAGTGGATAGTGATGACTTGAACACTGCCCTTAACCATTTAATGCCCAATGCAGAAACACAGACGAGTTCCTCTGTGGAATAAAAGGTTGAGGTGACCAAAGAGCCCCTTCTTCTTAAGTCTGATGAAAGATGAGCATAAAAATGGATAAATGGCCAAAGGCTGACTTCTGAGATGTGGACGTTTCTGTCATTTTAACGTCACTGATGCAGTAAATTGCTTCTCTTGGGGTCAGACATACCCTAAGTGCAATCTCATTCTCCATTACCTCTGGACATACTGTAGCTGTAAAAGCATGTTCCTTCCATTAAATGTAAAGATGTCTCCGATTGTTCAACAAAGTACCTCTTTCTGTTTGATTACAAGTTGATACCACTTAGCTTGCCTGAGCTGTAAAATACACACAATTATTGAGGCTGTGGGCAATAATGCAACCCAAGAGAATTCAAATGAAGGTGACTTAAATTGCTGAATTGTTGTATCTATTCATTAAGTGTTTCAAAAATAAAACACTTTATTAAATACCAATATGGTCCCCCCAAAAAAGTGTAAATTGGGATGCATAAATTTAAATCCAGGAGGCCAGAATCTCAACATTTCCATACCCAAAAGAAACAAAGACAAACAAGTGTTTTGATTTCCTTTGTCCTTAAGTCTTAGCTACACTGCTGATGCTGAGGAGTTTTCCTGTTGAGATGATGAAGGATCATCTCTGTGTTTAAGTGCTAGATTGGAAAAAAAACAAAAAAAAACAAGGGCTGCTTGTCCTCGTCTGCATCTGATAAATCAGACTGGGCATAATGCTTAGACCACAGGGAGTTTATGAGCAGTGGAGGAATACTAATGTGAGTCATACTGTAATCATTCAGATGTAATATGACTTACTCACTGAAATGTAAATCCATCTGGGCAGGAAAAAAAAAGTCCCAAACAATCCTGCCAATCTCTAACAAGCAATTTACCCTAATCCCAGGAGTGCATACCCTTGATATGCATGTGTGTAAACAAAGGCTTTGTGCACAACACTTTTTTTTTTGCATAATTTTAAATCAAGTAAACATCTTTACATTCTAAATATCCCTATGTGAACTTGCTTTCTGACAAAAAAAACAGCCAGTAACTTCTCCCCAACTCCCTTCTTCAAATCCCACAGATCGATGCAAAAAGCTCGGAGGATCCCGACATCAACTGCAGCTCTCAAGAGGAGATTAGTTCAAGATGAAGAGGAAAACATCCCTCCTCTCAAACTCTCCTTTTATAAAACACAGGCCAAAGACTCTCCCTTCCTCTACGCCACGTTTCCTCCCTATGGTGTGAAACTCACACTGACTGCAGAGTATCAAAGATATGAAAAACTTAAACCAGACACAAAGCCTACACTGTTTTGAAAAACCGAAAGTCTTCTTTTTTCGTCTTCTTCTTCAGGGGGGAGAAAGAAAACAGGCGTCTTATGAATATTTCAGCATCTGATCTCCGTGGGAGACATGGATTGCGCAGCTCGACGCGACAGTTTTTGGTGAGCTGCACTTCCTCTCAAAAAGAAACTCCACATAAACAGATTGGGTTAATTCATTCCAAAGGGCAGCCCCAGCCAAAACAAAGAAGGAAAAAAAAGAAAAGGGGGCTACAGTGTGTGCCACGGTCGAGCCACCCCTCCTCGTACGGATACAAGTCCCAGGGTTCTCGTTAAACATGGCGAGCCTCATGAATGTTGTATGGCTATCTTAGCCGTGTTTACACTGACCTGGTTTCTTTGCCTCAGTCTGTGGAGATGACAAGGGGAAAGGAGCTTACGCCTTCCTGCAACAATCCACCAGCATCACATTACTGTACTTACTGTTCAAGTCACAGAACAGCTTTTAGGATGTTAGAGGAGCCCACTCTGACCTGTGATGGAATACCATTAACCTTCGTGTAAGAAAGCACAAAAAGCCCAGCTGGGAATTTATCCCACAACTTGGACTGCCAGACACATCCTCTGCTGTGAACACCACAGCTTTAAAGGGAAGTAAATAAAGAAGGAGGAAGGTTGGACCTAAACGGAAACTTTAAACACCAAGAAAGAGAAGGAATTTTAAATGACTACATTTAGCCCTTTAAGCAGATTTTTTTTTTTTTAAAAGCCTACCACAAACAACACGTTCTCCATTCCCCCCCGGAAATTCAAAGAGTTTTGTTGGTGGATCATCCCGGCAAGTTAAGAGAAATGCCAGGCTTGCATACTGTCCTATGAAATTTTCATCACTCGAGGAAGGGGAGACGAAAGATTTGCCTTTCAATTTTTCATTATTCTGCTTGAACCAGACTATACTGCGTGACAAGCGAGAGAAAATTGGGTACTCATACAGATCAGTATGAAAATGAATTGCTCAAGTGTCCCACTTTTTTTTTTTTTTTGATTGAATTAAAAAAAGGGAAGAAGCTGTCCTCATATGTTGGAGTGAGGATGAATCATCAGCTAATTATCATCTATAAAAAAAACCAGCAGTCTGGAAGAGATAAGGTACTCTGAATGAGCATATAGAAGGTAGAACAATCTGAAACAATACAAGAGAAAGAGATAGAGAAGTAGAGGAACATCCCCAGGATTAGTCAACGATAGCATCTTCGCCTTTCTTCTTAAGTACTCCTCGGTCAGACTGAAAGTTACTAACGCCTGTTTAACTGCCGTTCTAGGTCACCATGAGATAAACACACGTCATTCAGGTTGGCCAGACCCCCAGTTACTAGACAGTGGCAGTGGCCTTTTCATGATGAACACTCATGGCCTGGGCCCTGTGATCAATTATAGCATGGGGCAGCGACTCTCAATGGAGACCTCACAGAGGGGGAGGCAGGGGGGGGGGGACTCAGAGAGAGGACAGCCTACATACTGAAGCTCTGCCAATATCCTGGGTCAGCTCAAAGCAATGTTTACTTGTTTCTCCCTGGTGATACCTAGCAATGCATCAGATACATTTTGAACTCGCCCAGGTTAGATACTGTGAGTCCCCTGTTTTTTATTCATCTCCTCTTTTTACCAGTAAATTATGAAACTTTACTGCTAGCACTGCAAGATAAATAATAATAAACACTGGTCGTGAACTGATCCTTCAAATATTCCAAAACAAAGGTCTTGGCAGCAACAACAGGAATGAAGCATGATGATATATAAAGAAACAATGACATAAAATCTGGTGAGCAATGAAAGTGACATAACAAAAATAAGGGGGATGGGATGATGAAGCAGAAACCAACATATGAGGCGATGCCTGCAAGCTAGTTCAGGCAGTCAACTCGAGCTGCACTGATTCCACACTTGACATGCCTCATTCTCAACAATCACCTGACAACACCTCCATCCAATTAGCTGTCTATTTAAGCTGCATGGTTTCTCTCTCTCTCTCAGCTCTTTCATTGCTGGCTCTGACCTGCACCAGTATACTGCACCACCGCCCAGCATCCACCTGTAGGGTCCATCCCATTACTCCTCAGATTTCTGCATGTAAATTAGAAGTCAGACGAGTTGTCTGACTGAAATATAATAGTATTAGGCATCGTTTCTGATCTAAAAAAAAAAGGAAAACAAGGGAAATATGTGTAAAATTTGATATAACTTGATCAAATATTGCTTTGCATTGCAATTTTTTCTTTTTATTTGTGGAAAATGAAGATAGCATGCCACATATGAACTGCTGTTTAAAACACTTATCAGCTCTGTTTATTCCCATATCAGCGCTCTCCTTTTCTTCTGTTGTCCTGGAGAAATTCTCCTCTTCCCAGTGTCAGGCAGGCAGCCGGCATCGAGGGACCCACTGAGGCTGAGCCCAAACACACTCAGTGCATTAGTGTGTCTGAGCTGCCAGCCGCTCCCTCGTGCCCCCCCCCCCACTCTCTCTCTCCCTTTCTCTAATGTCAGCGCTCATCTCCTACGTTTCCATCTGCCACCCTTAAAATAGCTCCCATTTACTCACATAACAGCCCTCACATTTCTACCTTTACTTCACAGGACATTTCCCTCCCCTGAAGCAGATGCATCCAAGAAGAAGCCCCCCCCCCTTCAGTCTCACCCCTCTGTCCCTCCTCCCCCCATATCCCCCTGCCTCCTTTGGTAGGCTGCTGCTCTGCTCCACTGGTGCTCCTGTTCATGCAGAATTCCAGAGAAAGCCGAGGCTTTGTGGGATGCTTTCAGGAACAGTCTGCCTGTTGCATTATTCATCAATCTAAGTCTCATCGGTGTCAAAGGCAGCCCACAGTGCCCAGCTGATACTGAGGGGATGGATGAGTGAAGTAGCTTAGACAAGGTGAGCAGGTAAAGAAGCGCTCTACAGGCCCCTCCAGAGGGAGGAGAAAAGCGAGGACAAACAGTATCATACCCTAAATTCATTAAAAAAAACTTTGTCTGCAGGTAAACTTCCTGTCTGTTAGCCAAAGACTCAACAACAAACAAAAGCAAATCTTCATCAACACTAAATATTACTGTGAATCATGTTGGCCTTTTATAAACAAAGACAGTTTAAAGTATGCTGCTCAGAGCTCGTAAACAGTTTGGAAAGCTGAATGTTTATGTTTTATAGGCAACAAATCTTAAAAAAAAAAAAAACACTCAAGTTAGTTTAACTGACAAAAGCTTTGGACACAGTTTCAGTTTGTCTTTGATCATAACTAGAACCAAATAATGTTGAACTCTCTCCCAGCAAAAACACTACACTGCAGGTAAGTCAAGTTAATATCAAAATATTTAAAAAACTTTTATTATTCTGACTAATTCAGAAAGTTTAAGACAGAAGGAAACTGTTTATTTCAAATTCAAAGTCTATGACTTAACAGAGAGAGAGAGAGGGAGAGAGAGAGATAAAGAGAGAGAGGGAGGGAGAGAGAGAGAGAGGGAGAGAGAGAGAGAGAGAGAGGGAGAGAGAGGAGAGAGAGAGAGGAGAGAGAGAGATGGAGAGAGAGAGGGGGGAGAGAGAGAGAGAGAGAGGGAGAGAGATAGAGAGAGATGGAGAGAGAGAGAGAGAGAGAGAGAGGGAGAGAGATAGAGAGAGATGGAGAGAGAGAGAGAGAGAGGGAGAGGGAGAGGGAGGGAGAGAGGGGGGGAGAGAGGGAGAGAGAGTGAGAGAGAGTGAGAGAGGCAGAGAGAGAGAGAGAGAGAGAGAGAGACAGAGAGAGAGAATTGTGTATGTTTTCTTCAGCAAACTATATGTTTGTTGTTTTCAGCTTTTGACACTACAGTATTTTGCTTTATACCATGGCAGTTATATTATATAATGTTGTTTTTCTGCAAAGTAAATATTATTTCTTTTCTAAGTAAATATGTACGGGATAAATATGAAAAAGTTGTTTTCTCTATCACGACTCATCAGAGTGTTTTAATCTGCCTTAAGGCTATTTATCACAGTGTAAAAGAGAGCTGTGTTCAAACTGGAAAACTTTGTTTTTTTATTGAAACACTGATATGTAGCCACGCAAAGGTTAAACTGGGTTAGAGTGAAGAAAAGCAACCATTTAAACTGTAAAATCCTGATAAATGTCTGAGAAAATATAGGAGAAAACATGTGCTCACCAGCCTCTAGGTTCAATCCAAACACATTACTCTGTGTGTATGTGTGTGTTTGTGTGTGTGTGTGTGTGTGTGTGTGTGTGTGTGTGTGTGTGTGTGTGTGTGTGTGTGTGTGTGTGTGTGTGTTTGTGTGTGTGTGTGTGTGTGTGTGTGTGTGTGTGTGTGTGTGTGTGTGTGTGTGTGTGTGTGTGCCCACAGGCATGAACATGTACACAAAGAGTTGACTTGTTGCAGAATGACACAGTATGTATAAAAATCTCAACTCACCGAGTTGGATGGCACACCGAGGTTGGTCTCGATGTAGGTTTCGGTTTTGGGTTCCACGGCCTGCTCCGCCTCCAGAATCTTCTCCACGGGCATATCCTCGTTGGCGCAGCTGGTGGACTCCACCTCGTTCTCGTTTCTCTCCTTGGCTCGCTGGCGCTCCTCCTGAACGGCTGCATGTAACAAAACTGGTTCCGGTCACTACTGCTGTTTTTTGTTTTGTCTTTCTATTTTCAAAGTGTGGGTTATTATGTATTCAAGAGCATGTGTGTGTGTTAAAAGAAAACAACTCAAGTACATACAAAACAGCATTTATCAATAGTATTTATGTTAGTCATCAAAAAGGAGTGAAAAGTTACCATATAATTATAACCCAAGTCATGACTTCTTTTAGATGATATTTCTCTATCAGCAGAAATCCCATATTTACCATTTAATTCTCAGCACCCATTGCAAGCAACAGGAAACAGTTTCAGCTAACGAGCTGTGATACATCAACTGGGTGTTTCTAGCTTTGCACTAAATGTTAGACAAGGTTAGCAACAGGCCAACCGACAGCCACAAAATAGAATGTAAGTGATATTATTTTCATGATCATTTTTGGGTGATTGTTTCTTTTTGCTATTAGTGGGATAGCTGAAAGAGACAGTTGGATAGATATGAATTAAAGCTTGAGGCTGTGAGTCAAACCTCTGGATGCTGCATTGAGGAGCATCTGTAAATGGGGCACCTGCCCCGCCAACCGAGCTAAACTGGCGCCCTATTAGTGCAAATTTATGTGCAAGTTCATCATCACAGATCCAGTAAGAAGGGTTAGGCAATGCAACAGGCGAGAAGATTTTAGAAGTACATTTTGTGTACTATTTGGGAAATGACAAAATATAACATTCTGACATGTTAGTGCATTTATTTCTGCCATTTTCAACGTTTCCCAAATCTTCCGACAAATAATTTTGTTTCAAGTGCATTATATTTACCTACCTACACAACTTATTTCTGAAAATATACAAAGCGCTACCTCACTATTATTTTCCCTGATAAATAAGAGATGAAAATATTGTATGTGGCAGATGTATTCAACATAGTTGTAGAAGTAGATCACAGATTTTAACCCTGAATCCTCCCCTTGAATGAATGGTTTAACTCTGATATATTTTGAGTGAACAAATTGCTCATTCCCAGGCACTGTGACTTAGGTTGTGCCTTCTCTTCACAGTGTTGCAGTTACATGTCATTATGTGTGGCTGTCAGAGTCTGCTCAGAGAGACTTTCTGCATACCTCTGGTTTGGTTACTTCATCTTCCTTTTCCATGCAACACATACACAATACACTTTTCACACACACATTCACTTACACTACTGACATGAAAACCTTATCTCTTATTGTAGTTTGATTTATGTTTTTCTTAATGAATCAGCTTAAGTGTTATGGTGCGTTCCATTTGATCGCAGAAGTCAGAAATTCCAAGTTGCTGGTCTCTCATCATTACAAAGGTACTCCTGGAGGAGTCCATTTTGCTTGTCTGACATGTTGCCAACTCGCAACTGGAATGCGGTTAACCTGGGTGTGAAATCATTCCCAGCTCCGAGTTCCGAACGCACCATTAATTTGGAGTCTCTCCCTTTATTTGCCATGGCCTTCGACCCGCCAATGACAGTACAAATCCGTAGAAAACTTAATATGTTCTATGTATCTACACTTACTTCTAAATAAATGTTCTGAGGGCATGCTTGAGCGTATGCTTACCAATGTCCATTGTCTGCAAGTGAGTGCCTTCTATTTTCAGTGTCTCTACCTAACCAGTGAATAGAGCATGACCCTGTTTGTAGTATGCCAGAAAACGTAACCCAGAGAATTCAATCATCAATAATTGCTTTCATAGTGCGGATGAAATATATGTAGGACCTTAGACCTATATTATGCACAATGCAGCAGCGTGGGAATTTTCAAGGACTTCTCTAGGCTTCTCCATCAAAGAAAAGTGTTTTCTAGGCAGTGCTCAGTGACAACAGCCAGCTTCTTATTTTCTGCACAAATCATTTATAGACACATAAATTATGTACGGCCTGTCACTCCATCTTTAGGCTGTACGCGGTCGCCAGAGCTGCTTGTATGAAAAAACCCTGAACACAAATCAATGAACACTTTGTCTCGTATTTTTTTTCTTTCCATGTCCTGTATGAAAAAGTGGTTGAGGCAAAACTCAGCCGGTTCTGTCGTCTGATTGGCTTGGCGAGGAGACACACAGGAAATGGTTTGTGTGCTGAGCAGACACAGAGACTCACTGTGGCTGAGGCTACAGAAACCGCACCTCCACCCTCAAGTGTGGATGGAAAAAAAGAATTTGTGCGAGTGTGTTTTGTCTTTCAAAAAAAAGGCTATAATTTACTTAAATCAAGAAAACCGCTGAAAAAAGTACTGCGGCTTTTTCTAAGTTTTATCCTCCCCACATGGATTAATAAAAAGTTTTGGACATAAAATGCTGAATGATAAAGGGCTTTTGGAAATTCAATGTCAGCGTGCAAGTTTACATACACACCTGGAGAGTCGGCATGTGTCACTCACACACACACACACACACACACACACACACACACACACACACACACACACACACACACACACACACACACACACACACACACACACACACACACACACTTGGTCTGCAGAATGATCTGCTGTCTAACGTTTCCCCCTACTCTGGTTTCTATTCCAAGCCCTGAATCAGAGAGGCAGTGGTCTTGTTGGGGGGGGGGGGGGTGGCTAAGGGTTGTTAGAGGAGGAGAGGGAAAGGGGCCCCATTCTAGAGGAACTGCTGTCTGGCAGTAGAGGTCAGCCCAAGGGTAGAATACTTGTGTTGGAGTCAGCGAGAGGTGAGGAGGGCTGAAATCATGTTAGCTTTATCCCCCCCCCCCTTCTCCTCTCCTCTCCTGACTGGGAGAGCATAAATTCATTTAATCCTGTTTTTCTGTGGATTCGCTTAGCCTTTTGGGCTACTGCTGCCTTGTTCCCTAACCACAGCCCTCGGGGTGCTGGGGGAGGCTTAGGCAGCACTGTGAGTGAGGCAAAAAGCCGTAAATGATAATATCCTTGAAAGGAGTAAGGAGCCCCAACAATGATCTAAAAAATAGCAGAAGGGAGGGGAGGCCGAATAAAGGTTGAGACACAATGGCCTTGGATAGAATGTCCTGCAAAATGCATTTGTATAAAAAAAACAAACACGACATAACACGTATTCTTCCTGTTCTCCAGCTTTAAGCAGTGAACTTACAACCCACATGCACACCTTGTTTACAGCTGCTGTCATATTTGTCTTCAGCTCCTTTTGCTTCACATCGCTCAGTATAATCTATGCACTCGTAACCGTGGTGACCACAATGGTGAGAGGCAATGATTGATTTATTTAATGTGTGAAAGAGTGCTTAACAGCACTGCTGAGAGCGCTAATATTTCTAACACCCTCATGAAGTGTTAAAATTCACACCTCACTGTCTGCCCCCCCCCCTCCCTCAGACAACGCATCTCTTCCTGGTTTTACTGGCTCTATAATCTTTAATTGAAGGTGCTTGAAAACAGTGTGGATCTTCAAGCAGCAGTCAAACTCGCCAAGACTGGAGGCAGCTTCAGGCAGCATCAAACAATTCAGACCTTTTTTTTTTTTTTGTGAATACTAAAGAGACAGTGCTGTCTCTTTAGCTGCAATATTGAAAGAACATAAAGAGGGCTGCAATAAATCATGCAAGCAAATAAAACATGTGTCTGGGTGAATGTACAGCTTAACGTCTGTTCGCCTTCATCCTGCCCTCTTCTAGTTATACTGAAAAGCACTTGCACCTCAATTTGCAAACTTCCGGGTGTGTAAAACCAGAATACCACAGCAAATATTGTTATCAGAAGTGTCTGATCGACACGTGATATTGTCAATCGGTTACCAATCTAGCCTGCAGGCTTAGCAATCTTTAAATGCTATGTCAGGAGGAGATGTTTGAATTACAAATCGCTTTACTGAATCAAAAAGTTTTGTTCACTTTATCATTTGTATTTGTTTTTCAGAACCTTCTACTATTTGAATTGCATTTATGCACATACCTAAGCTAAGGTAACAGCTTAAGTGTAAGCTAAAACACTGTTGTTAAAGTCAGAATATTTGACCCTTCATGAGATTGTCTTCAGTCCAGTTTTATTCCAATTTAAACAGTTACCTTTAGGAATAAGTTTGTCCCACGCAAGAACTGCTTACATACAAAGCTTAACGCTCAGCATCCTATTATGAGCAAAAGTTATCATTTCATTCTCATTTTTGCTTTTACCTATCAAGTTATTCAATTTGAGCTGACAAGTTTGTCTCTAACACTGGACATGAACCAAAGCTAAGAGCTACGCAACCATTCAAGGAAAATGAGTCACTTAGAATTGAAGATTCATTGTTAAAGATTTGTACCCTGAAATATTGATCGCCTCCAGTCAGAGGGGGATTCAGTGCAGAGGTGGACTGTGCAGTACAAATCAATGCTCCACCATCAACAAATTCATTTTCTGTGTTATCTTTGTTAGGGGAAGAGTGACTTTATGTAGCAGCTATGTCTTGTTTTGCATCTTAAATAAACCTACCTCTTTCAACAACATGGAATGTACAATGTGTGTAACTAAAGTATAATCTAAAAGTCAATGTTTGATTAATGGTCTGTCCTCTATATGTGGCAAAACCATGCAACCATTCAAGAATGTGGTCCAATGTTTTCACTGTGCTTTGCATTTACAGGACATTATCCAATTTAGGGAGCCTGATTGAATTTTGTGCATCGACTGTCCTGCAGAATGAGCACACAAAAAAAGTTTGTGTTCAGGAAAACAAGTTGTTTCACAGTAACTAGATAGGTGGTTCCATACATTTTCTAAGTTTATCCAAAGCATTATGAGCCCAAGAGAGGCACTGAGGCTGATTTCCAGAGGACGCAAAAGAGGTCAAAGTTGACATGGTTGCACAGTTACGTTTTTATTACTATAGTCTACATCAGTGAACTCCTGGAGAACTGCTTCTCTCACATTGTTTCCACATTTAACTCTAAACTCTTAAAAGGTTGATTCATTATTCTTCACAATTTGCAGTTACTGCGGGTGATTTTTAAATACAGGGGAGACTATGTCCACAATATGCAGTATGAAGCTGTATAGCTGCAAGCTTGTGGAATTTTAAGAGTAAGAATGGGTAAAAAAAGTGTCCTTATCTATCAGGAACAAGTCAAAAGGTTCATCCTCTGACCTTGCAACGCATTTGCAACTCTGCATTAGTTGTCATGTTCCCTTTAAATAAAACAAAAACTTCTGTTTTAAGGTTTGCAACCAAAGTGAGGGAACCTTTTTTGTTCCGCTAACAATGTCAGTCAAAGGTATGACTTTTGTATCTTGTGTGGGTGACAATAATCTGATCTCTGATTTTCAGAGGTGCAGTGGTTAAAAAGCAATCATCTGGTAAAAGCTTCCCCCTTTACCAAAAAAGATGTATGGTTACACATTTCTTCTGGTCACATTTCTTCATCATATACACGACCATGCTCACGTAATTTGTTAACTCAATGTTAATGTGTCTCAATGTGTCAATTGTTGTGTGGGTCTATGTGGATTAGTAGAGTCTTGAGGGAATGGGTAAGTGGGACTTTATCCTCAAAGGTATGTGCTGTACCTTCTCTCTTCATGCCCATGGCTAAACACTTCTGGTAGCGGCAGTACTGACAGCGGTTCCTCTGGCGCTTGTCAATGACACAGTCCTTGTTGTCGCGACACGTGTAGGTCAGGTCTTTGCGCACCGTCCTTTTGAAGAAACCTTTACAGCCTTCGCAGCTGTATACCCCCGTAATGTTTACCTGAGGAGAGAGAGACAGACAGATATGGTGTGTCTAAAGCATAGAGAGTAGAAGATGGTGTAGTTGGCATGTCAAGTTGTCAGTGAGGTGACAGAGCCACAGGCTGCTGTTGACAGACGCAATAGTTGCTCTCAGCGGCTTATCTTGCCCATTGTTTAGTGCGGTAAGTTGTCGGCACACTGCTGACCACCAGAAGAGTAAACATGAAGGACTGTGGGAACAAAACCTAAACACTTTGAGACAGCATGCAACCACACAAAGACCATTCAGGAAATTTTGTATGAGGAAGCAAAAAAGCAAATATGATGAAAGACTTATTTAAGTGAACATCTTGTGTGTTTGGGTGTTATGCTAAGGTATCCAAGGAGTAAAGAGGGGGCCTACTGAAGATAAGCTGAGGGGGGGGGGCCCTCATGGATTTGTGTTACTGTACTCTCTTAACAGTTCTTTCTTTTGTTTTATGATGGATGAAGTACATTTGCATTCACTTGTGTTGCTCAAATGGTTTCTTTGTTAGCTCAGACCACCATAGAAGATAAATAACCCCCACCCCTAAGTACAGCTAAATGTAGCATGACCTGCTATTAAAGATTGTTTTGATTTTCCCCCTAGGGTTCGATAGAGCACCGATGACGCAGGATGACAATAAAGCTGTCCAAAGAATTAGATACTCCACTCCAACCCCGGGGCTGAAAACTTTTCATGGATGTCCGCAGAATAACTTCTAAACACAGACTTATTTGTTTAGTGTGAAGAAAACAGTTTGGTGACCTTACAGATGACTTTGGTTGAATGTTCTTGAGGTTAAATTGGTGCTGATGATAGCAGATGATGAATGGAACGTGGCAGTGAGGTTGTGCCGTGTAAACGAGCAACAAATATTCTTAAATTAACTGATGTGTCTTCCTACAAGGACTCCCTTAAAAAAAACAGAATATTAAGACATTCAACCAAGAAATTAATCTGGTGTTAGGGGAAATTCTGCAATTCCAAAGTTGAAAAAGCAAGACAAGAAGAACGATGATAACGTGACAAGATGAAACCTCACATGGACAGCCATAAAAAAAATAAAAAAAACATGTGTCAGTCGAGCTAGATCTGGAGGCATTTAACACACTCCAGTCAGACCAAGCACATTATATCTTAATCAATGTTAACCATTTGAATGATATATTTCAAGATAAAACTAAACAAACTAAAAAAGATAAATGTTGGCAGCTGATATTTGAATAGAACCTCATTAAAGATTAAATTGCAGTTGTCCTTCAATTTAAATAATTCATAGTTCTCACATAAATATTGATCATTTCACCCGTTTAACCTAGAATTACTTTTAAAAAGGCCTTTATTTGCTCCCAGCCTTCATTTACTACAAGCCGCTCCTGCAGAAAAAGCTCACCCACATCATGATAGTGTCGGCGTCACCATGCTTCACGGTAGGGATACTTTGAGATGAGTGATGGGTTTTGCCTGGTTTACCTCACACACAGCGTGTCTCTATTTCAGTAAAAAGCTGAGCTGAGCTTTGGTTTCATCAGACCGTACAATCTTTTGCCTCATGATTTCAGTTGCTTTCATGTGCCTTTTTCCGTGCTGACCTCATATGCATGTTCTCAGGAGTGGCTTCTTTTTCTGGCCACTCTGCCATTTAGCCCAGATTTGTGAAGAATCCCACTGACTGTTGTCCTTCCAGGAAGATCTCCCCACTGCAAGAACGCAGCAGTGTGTAGTTCTGCCAGAGCAATCCTTGGGGTGTTCACTGACCAAAGTTCATCTTTGGATCTTCTTTGGAGGTTTTCTCAGTGTGGCTATAACCCCGTCTTTAGTAACATGCTGGTTAGTCCCACTTTCTTTTCATTTGGTCAAAATGAAGTCTTGTGTAATACCAGCTGCTGAGAAACTATTTTTATACCTTTCCCACAATTCTTCCCTAAATTACAAATTCCCCAAAACTTCTTGGTTATGCTGAGAGTCATGTGCATTTTTCAAACGTCATCTCCTTTTAATTATGGTGAAGGCATTTCATTATTTATGATTTCAATGTGTTTTTAGGAAGATGTTGATTAATAACACTTGAATGAAAGGCTATTTGGTAAGTTAAGTCACACAGCTCATTATCATTTTTATTGTCTCTTCGTGCAGCTATCCACATAAACAACAATCAGTATAATACATGAGCTGGAAAGTTTGTTAGGCTGCACCCACACTAGGCAAAGATGTCCTGTACTGTGCCCCCCCCCCCCCATTCCCCAGCTGGCCTGCACCCACACTGCTCCAGGACTAACCGGGCCTGAACATGGTTACCTCTTGAACATAATGTTGTAATAAAACTAAATTAAGAAAACAACATATTTAAAACAAAAATGATGGTGAAATATCTGTTCATAATGCCAAAAAGAAATATAGATGAGACAAAATAAAAGGCTGTGTTCCCTTTTTTTCTTTTTCTTTTGTTAAGTGTTAGTGCACTGCGGGTACAAGTTCTCCCTGTCCACTGACATCTCTGGTATGTGGCAGTGATTAAGCCAAACAAAGTCACTTCTGGGGTCTCAGAAATCAGCAGCCTGTCGTTTGGGAAGGAAGAGCAGAGACGTTCTTTTGACACATTTGTCTTATATTCGATCCACACAGAGGACTAAGGGGCAAATTCACTAACCGCAGCTTATATCATAACCATGAATTGCAAATCATTTTCTCCTGCAATCTTCTCTGTCTCGGGGTGCTGCGGGTGCAGTGGTTAGTGCGGGCGCCCCCTGAATGGAGGCTGTAGTCCTCCAAGCGGGCGGCCTGGGTTCGAGTTTGGCCTGTGGCTACTTTCCCTCTCTATCTCTCCCTGGAATCCACTGTCCTATCTCTACAAAAAATCTTAAAAAAAAAAAAAAAAAATCTTATCCGTCTCATGGTCCAGTTTAAAAAACATATTGCACTGATTATATTTACGCCTAATGCCAAACCTAATGCTACCCCCCCTTCATAAGACTAAAATGTCACTAATACCAACTTAAGTTTTCCGATAGTATTTAAGAGTATAACTGGATAAAAATGTCAAAATGAGCACTGGTGTTCATCACAGAGCGATGTCACTCACCTGAGGAGCGGTCACCGCAGATGGCGCAGATGTGTTTAGTGAGCGACAGGGTCGTTCCTGAGGGCTGGGCAGGTACCTTCATCACACCGTTTAGACCCAGCGGGGGCTTTATGTCCTCCGTGCTGCTGACCGAGTTCATCGGAGAGTTTAGCTGGAACATCAACACACACAAACACACACGCCGACAGGTCACAAATCTGCTCCCACTAAACTCTAAAAAAAAACCTGCAACATCACACACCCCATTACACAGGCCTGTCACATAGCTGAACTGTCGATGCATAGTTATCTGATGACATTAACTATTGAAAGAAGGCCAGGTCTGCTAGGGAAACACAAGGTTCTTTTTTCTCATACAAGCAGTGAAAATAAATCAGACTGAATTATGTAATTGCACATCGTCTTGAACATTTTATAAATACAGAAAGTGAAAAAGGATGTTGTGACTTCTGATACTCAATACAGATGGTCAGCAGCTCTTTTGCCTCCTTTTATCGCTCCCTCTGTGGCTCTCCTCCCTCCTGTGTCAGATCTAAATCTAGCACAGCAGGATCCTGCACCACTCCACCCGAGGAACTCTTTTATTCATGCTCTCAAATGTTCAGCACTGGCATAACTCCGCTGCAACATTTATCAGTACAGTGGAATAAAGGCGACAGCATTTGTTTTAGCAGCAGAGCGACTGCAGCCTTTAGTCTTAATCCAACTGAAGCCCCCCCTCCTTCTCCCTTCATTAGAGCTTTTAAAAAAATGAATCTGAAAGTGACCTCTCCTCGCCTCCTGCTAAAAGTGGAGAGCGTGGGGAGGCAAATTATGACTAGCACCATGCTGTTTCTAGTGGAGATAAACATTAGGAGGGCAGGATATGAGTTATCCCAAATGTGCAGAGAAAAATAAATCTAAGCTAAGTAGCCATTAGCACCAGCCAGTGTAAAATTTAGAAAGTAAAAGCAAAAGTCTGCTCGACTAAGCTAATGCTAAAATGACATTACAGAGAGGAAAGAAAAGGGAAAACAAATTAAATACATTCAGACACACAAGTGGAACACACCCACAACGGGCAGGAGAGAGAGACAGAGCAGAGTTGGCAGAGCAGCCACATGGTCTCATATAGCCAGACGTGTTTTCATTAAGTTACCACATATGAGACATGTCTGATAGCGCTAACATTTCTTGGCTCTTAACTTGGCTGACTGTAGCAGAGAACTTATGTCCCTTGTCTGCAGGGATCGGGCAAGACAGAACAGAAAGCCTTTTTGTTTTCATGAAGACGAGACAAACGCGAGAGTCTCGGCGAGTTTGTTGTCCTCAGCTGTGTTTACAGTGATCTGACAGAGAACATTAGCTGCAGACTGGAAGGGCAAAGAAACGTATACACGGCAGCAAATAGTGCCCTTTAACAAACATACAGTATGCAAACAAACAGCCACAAAGTCCATTTGAATGTTAGCATGTGGCTCCAAAAAAAAAACACAGAGTATATTTATTCTTCAAGTCCAGGAGTGACAAAGTGGCATTTTCCTTTTATATAAGAGTAGCACTGGAACACTAAAGGCCAGATTTACTAAGCTCCAAATTAAAGAGTACTAAATTGCTTGTTCACTCCAATAGTTTGCACGTTTGGTTGGTGGGCGTTTTGCAGGTGATCTACCAAGAAAATTTGCGTGAATGACAACAGGTGCAAACCTTGTGGAGGAGGTAGTATTTAAGTTAGGTTTTTGCGTGTTCTACTGGTTTACATCATGGAGAGTTTGGACAGAAAGCAGGATGACTGCAAGCGCAAAATAGATATTAGTACAATACAATACTTTTGAGTTATAGGAGATAAATCTGAATATTACAAAGAAAATTTTGGTTATAAGAAAACGTCGGCATTAATCAGGGCCTCTCTTTTCTTCCCTTCATCTTAAGAATGAAGTGTCATACATTGAGCAGGATGTACACACTGTGTCCTCTGTGGCACGGGCGCTCTACACTCGGGCCGTTGTTGCGCACCAGACAGCTGGCCAGCGCTGTGTCTGATCGGACATAAATGCCCTGGAGAGAGGTATCGAAGACGGGGGTACAAACAGTGGGTAGGTACCCCAATCCAAGCGTCATACAGAGTAGCAGCAGTGGGCTTTAGAGGGAGGAGACGAGTGCATTATGGAGAGGAGCGACCAGAGAAAAAGGAAAATCCCCAGTTTAAAATATAATGTTGGTAAAAAGAGGGAAATAGGACGACATAAATGTCAATGTTGAAATTCTATAGAATTCAGAGGCTGTGAATGTTCAGTTTTGTTTGGATATATGGCAACAATAGCCTGTAGTTTAATCATGGTTTTTCTCTTCCTTACTTCTTCTTCCGATTAGAATATTGAATCAAATTAAAAAATAAATGCATGCCATTTATTTTTCTGTCATTTGAAAAATGTAAACGCGATCTTTATGCCTTCTTTTGTTGTGCTTATGTCTCCTCCTAACTACAATAACAGCAGCCTGTGCGTAACGCTGGCCTCCTGGGTTAGCACGTTCTTTTCAAAGGTGTTAAATACAGACATGGTCACAATCACCGCAATTTTTGTCAGGTTTGGTAAATCGCAATGCGTGTACTAACTTAACTTGTTTGCATTTTCTCCTCCCATATTGCATATTCATTAAGTCAAACATACTAAATGGTCAATGCGTGTTGTTTTGCTCATATGAAGATTCAGTCCTCACTGCACACCGTTAGTAGATCAGATAACACTTTTTTTGCTGGTGGTATCAAGTTTGCACACGTTTTAAGACACGCAAATCTTTAGTAAATCTGGCCCTAAGAGAATTATTTGATCATCACTAAAGGACACTAATCACCTGAGTGAACATAACAAGACGACACCTGGGTCTCTGGGATATTTTGACGACTATTTTTCACTATTTTATGACTTTATGTGTCAAGTGAAAGTTAGAAAACATTAGTTAAAACTATTGATTCTACAGAGAACCATCAACACCGACACCCTGGGGAAGAAAGCACAACAACAGCTGTTTTTCCTGAGGACGCTGAGAAAAGCTGGCCAGCCCCCTCAACTGCTCGTGACCTTCTATAGATGCTCCACAGAGAGCATCTTGACACAGTGCGTCTATGTGTGGTACCACAGCTGCACTGACAGGAAGGCTCTGCAGCAGAGTGTCTCCAGCAGCACACAGAGGATCATTGGGACTCAGCTCCCAGCACTGGAAGACATCCACAGAAAAGCCTTTAGCATCTGGAAGGACCTCACTCACCCATGTCACCATCTCTTTGATCACCTTCTATCCAACCCTCACCCTGTGTCTGGTTACCCTCACTTTCTTTATAAATAAATAAATAAAACAGCTAGACATTGAATGATATGAATAATAAAGACTACTGACTCTTCTTGTCACAAAAATGTAACTTATTCACAAATTGTGAAACTTTGCATGCATGCAGCTTTGACTCCATGACTTAGGCTCGGTGCTTAAACATATAATACCTGTTATTGTGCCATAGAAAAAATACAAATACATTGACATCAAGATATGCAAAATCTTTAAAATGCAGTGTACATGAATGCACAAGTACGCAAAACCAGAATCTTTCATAGACAGATATTTTACATGAATGTTTATGACATTTTAGTACACACATTTCATGCACACACATACACAAGTACACACTGAGCTGCTGTGGCTCGTGGCGTCTCCTTCAACCTTACACTCAAACATTTGATTCCTCTTAAAAAGCTTCAAAGTCGAAGAAATGTAGCAATGCTGCATACATTTTTTTTCCCTTGAAGTAAAGGTGTGCTTACATTGAGTGAAATATTCCAACCATGGTTCTTTACCTCGACTTCAAACAGAAAATTCTGGATGTCTCCTGCATCATTTTTATACACGTTTCCACATAACTCAGCATGATATGTGGTGTCATGGGAACTTGACTTTGGGACCTGACTTGAATTTTTTATATAAAGCTTATGTAGGTTTGAATGTTTGGCTGCATGCGAATGATGGATCCACTGTTTGGTTGGTTCAGAAGGTTCAAAAGGATTTAAACTTCTGCCACATGATTCACTTCACACTCTCACACCCACCACTAACCAGCACTTCACACCCTGTTTACACAAAGGCATATTAAAAGCAATATAAAAGCAAAATAATTAATTTTTGGAAGATTATTTCTCAGGTAAATATCCTGCAAAAGTTGTTTGTACAACCAGGGGGCTTGAAGGAGGTTTGAAGTGATGCTCCATGTGTGTTTTATTATTACACAATAGAAAAGTTTTCATTGTCAACTTGAGATGAAAATGTTGCTTGTGTGCTGAAAAAAAAAACCTTTCTCGCTTCTTTCTGAGTACGTCTCTGAGTCTCAAAGGCTCCAGCACAGCTGCATTGGTTGCTTGGAAGTAGCCTCGGCGTCACATGCACACACCCACACCTCTGTGAGCTCACCCACATCTCTGCACACACGCACAACGTGACGTCTTACCTCAGTTAAACGACTCAGTCTAGTCTTTTCCCCTGCAGCACAGCACTATCAGAGCTGTCTCCTTTGCTGATATCGTCTCGATCAAAAAGCCCACTGTCTGCCTGACAGAAAAAAAAGGCTCTTCTACTCACAATCTATTTTCAGTAAAAACTGCAACTCAATCTTAGCAACATTGCTCTCCCTGTGGTGGGGGTGGGCATGCTGGTGGGGTTCTTTCTTTCTCTTGTGCCCACAGCAATGGAGGCAAGGCAGAGGGATTAAAGTGGCTCAGGACTGACTCTGGAAATAGAATACGTGCGATCTCCCCTACAACACATACATGTGACCCTTCACTGGGAGGTATGCCAGCTGTGTGTATAGCCGCACCATCTTGGGAAACCCCTCGACAATCCTCCCCTCACACACAGCCTGTCTGTCTTTTTTTTTTTGAAGTGGAACGCTTTGCTTTAAACTTTTAGAGACTGATGGAGGGAAACAAACGAGGGGCATTTAACGTCAAGGACTGGAAATCTAGGACATAAGATTCCCTGCAGTACGATGTACAACACAAGCGGCTGTAATGTTCCAGCTGAACAACACTGTTTCATGTGCTGCAGGTGTTACATAACATGTTGTGGAAGACATTCAACTGGTACATCCAGTACGTTGGGGGTCTCTGTCTGCTGGTAGGAGTCAGA